GGTCATTTTATTTGTTATTATAATAAATTAGTTATTATAACAATGCAATAAAAAATGTTTAATGCAAAAAGTCTTGGCTTCTCTCTCTCTCTCTCTCTCTCTCTCTCGCTCTCTCGCTCGCTCTCTCTCTCTCTCTCTCTCTCTCTCTCTCTCTCTCTCTCTCTCTCTCTCTCTCTCTCTCTCTCTCTCTCTCTCTCGCTCTCTCGCTCTCTTTCTCGCACATTTCTACTCCTGTATTCTAGCAATATTCTTCTCTCTCTTACTCTCTATCGCTTGCTCACTCGCACTTGCTGCTTCTTCAGCATGTAACGTTTCTAGTATCGGAAAAGTGAGATGCACAAATCCTCTCTCCTCTGCAGTCTAGCGTTTCTTACTTTCTTACTGAAGCGAAATTTTCCGTGATTTGGACTTTATTTTAAAATATCTACATTTAGAGTCAACGTACACCGAAAACACAAGGACACTTTTCTTCCTATTTTTTAAGACCGAATCGATTGGCACTGAAAAAACCTCGATCGGTTTAGCCATTGCTGAGATATGAATATCTCACCTCGTTTCAATTCGTAGTTTCGCGTAATACAGGCACGTAATATGCCTCGCATCGTTCGGGCGCAACTTCGCAACTTGGCGCGGGGCCTCTTAATAATGATAGAAGCCGTCGCGTTCACGCGTCCGTATATGAAAGGGGATTTGTCCGCAGACAAAAGAAGTGTCCTGATAATAACAATTTACAATTATCCTCCGGCGAGCCTCGTCGGCGGACGTAACGCCGCGGCGATCGCGATGGCTGCGTAGCGAGGGACGCGATTTTGGAGTTAAGTCACGTCCGACAATCCGAGCGGTAACTTCCGTTTCCGCTCTAATTAGAGCCCCGGCGCAGCTGCTGAAACGAAGATAGCGGCCGGAGATATCGCGAAAATTCGTCGTCCATTTCGATCGTCCTTGTCGCGAGGAAGGAGATAAATGAGATTTCTCGGTGAGAGAAATTTTGTGCGTGCATTAATCGCTAAAACGCGATAATTATGCGAATGGGCGACAGCTCAATATTTGTAAAAAGTTGATCACTTGCTTATGTTTAAAAACTAACTAGTTTGACAATTGTTGCTTGGCCGCTAGAGAGGTCCCGCCGAAATATGGAGATCCTGTTGCTGCCGGGACGAATTAACGCGGTGAATCCGAGCCGCGTCGGCTCGAAAATGCAATCGAAAATCTCTCGCGATACGCCTTCAGATTTTTATTAATTTGATCATGCGCGTTTTACACGTAATCTCCGTGTTTTTCAATTTCACGCGAATTTCCCTTTTAGTCCTGCCTGCACTTCCCAAGCGTTTGTTCCGACAGCAGAAACGGCCGATATCGTAGCGCGAATTCCATTGCGGCGAGGATTAAGTGCTCATCCGAGGCACGTGATCTTCGCGGAAAGTAAAGAGATTCCCATCGCAATTGTTTCGAATGCTTGCGCAATTAGACGGTAAGTAGATAACTCACGACGTCTCCTTCCGTCTTCTCCCGATTCTCCGCCAACACCAATCTTGTACCGACGTAGAATAGGATCTCTCCGAGTGTCGCTTGTCACGGGGAGAGAAGTCTCGCTGCCAAGCCGTGTAAGAGTGCTCAAGCAAATAAGCGATAAATCGGATTCAGCGACGGACGGCCGCGTGAAATTTCGATTCGAAAACTGACGATTCCAAATTCAATCCCGAAGGATAGTGCGACGAAAAAGCGGACGTGCACGCACGGTGTATTATTTATTTTATTATTTTAAATTATTAACTTAAATTAGATGTACATGTCGCGCGTGACGTAATGTTAATATTCGCGGTCTGCGAGCTGTCATGACATTACATTTCCATTCATTCCCCTGCAATAGCATAATTTACATTTTATGAATATTTCACGCGGACATCGGTGTGATGTATTTAAAACATGCGACGTTGCTCATTCAGTACAACGTAGCTCTTATACATTAATTTCACACTGGCTGGCTACGCGGTAACGAAAAATCTGGCGGAAAGTCGGCTCGCGGTTGTGCAGCCGCGGAAAAATATAGGACTATAATGCGATGGGATACAGGAGACGGATAAATTCGGCGCGGCCGAATAATATGTATTATACAGTTGCGCCGTCTACCGTGATCGTCGCTATATTATACCTCGTTGAAACGTCCCGCACGCCACATAACAAAGTCTTCATTTTTCACGCAATTCGCCGTAATTCCGCCGACTGCACGAAATCTTGGGATTTATACGGAATCACAGACAGTTACGCATACACACAGACGAGTTCCCCGGAGTGTTAGTTCGGACGTGGAAACTTCGTATTACAATCGAGAATGAGAAATCATAGATTCTCTCTCTCTCTCTCTCTCTCTCTCTCTCTCCCGGTGAAGGGGCCGCTGCAAAATGAAGTAATCAAACTTTAGGTCGCATTCACTCCACATCGCTTTATTTTCGCATCCTTCTCTGGCATCTCGAAGAGTTCTTGCGGATAATCTCGCAAAAAGCGAAACACCGGCGAGAGAAACTTCTGGCTCCTCGAAACTCCCGTATTTTCATCCGCGCGCAAGGCGTGTTCGCCCGAGCCGCGTGTTAATCGTAATCGCATCGTGGTTTCTTCGCGTGCGAACGCTCGAATTTACGCCGCCGGCTTTATGCTTCCGTCGTTTCACTCGACGAATTGAAAATCATGAGAAGCGCGAGCCGCCGCGCCGTTCCGATCGCGTTGACGATCCCGAAGAATGATTTTTACGGTCGAGCGTCGCAATAAGCCCCGTAAATTCTTTTACGTTCGGTATTATTTGCGATCTCCCTGGGTTTTATTACGTGGCGCACTGCCATATACGGGCGAGCACGTCGGCGCGCGCGTGCTTCGTTACACGTCGTAACTCCCGCGTGCGGAACTTCAGCCCTTAAATACTTAACTGCGCGCTACGCTTCTCCACGGTCCCCCTCTTCCTTTTGTACTGCGGATAAGAAGGGAATAACGAAAGAAATGGAGTGTCCTCCAACGATTCATCTTGCAGAGCTCGGCCTCTTAAATTTTCTATGGAGTTTAATAAATGTCAGCCGGTACTTTAAGGCGTCTCTCTTAACTTACCAAAGACAGATGCGATAAATGTGTCGATCTCAAACATTCGCCACTATCTATGTCAAGAATTATTTCTCTCAAGCTGTTTACTACATTTTTCTTCCTCTCTCTCTCTCTCTCTCTCTCTCTCTCTCTCTCTCTCTCTCTCTCTCTCTCTCTCTCTCTCTCTCTCTCGGTTCTCGTCAGTTCAAAATAAATTTCTCTTTTAATAAATTCATAGAAATTTTAGCAGATTAATAAATGCTGTAAGTTCATATTATCCATACGTCATTTTCCATTCCGCTGCTTTTAAATCTAAATCCTTTATATTTTAATGCTTTTTATAATCTGACAAATACTCCGACTCTCAACTGAGCGAAAACGCAGCAGTAACAGGTGCATGAAAACATAAAAACATAAAAAATATAAAAATTAGTTTACTAAAATTGATTCACTGCTATGGTATTGTTGTGAAAAGAGTAACGTCTCATAGCGAGATTCTATGAAACAGGAATTCATTGTACCGTACTGCAGACGCACGGAAGTGCATTTTACAAAGAACGTATTTTGGAAATTAAAAATTAATAGTGGAGAGTGAACAGAGTGCAGCTTTTCATACTGATACGCAGATTGTACGATCTGTCCTTGTCACATGAATATACCAGAGAGCTTCCGATCAATCCATCGCACCAATACACGCGGTAATCCTTGCTATTTCGCGAAAATCTCTCTTTGACGACCGTTGAATCGTTATTACGCATTTGCGTCTGCTATCTCCTGCTCGTCTCGCGGAAAAGCGGAGAGGAACCGGAGGCTTAAAACTCCCCCGCTGTGTCCCTCCTCTTCTCCCAGGCGAAACCGCCGGTATGGAAGATGTTCGACTTTGAAGATGTTTCTCAAATTTATGCGTTCCACGATCCCGCGGAGGCGGGCTACGCATATCCATTCGCCTTCCTCTTTTTTCACCCTCGCCCTTTCTGCTGCTGCCTCTCGCTCTTTTCCTTTTTTCCTCTCCTCCCTCTTCCTCTATCTTAATATCGTTCAACGTCGATGGCTCTGTAGATTTCCGTGATATTTTAACGGAAACGACAGGAAAGCCGGCGTACGCGACCCGGCAAAGCGCGACCCGCGAGGAAGAGCTTTAACGACTTTCGCGAGATTCGCGCGGACGGACGGTAACGACTTTCTAAGTGCGAAAATTTTTAAGGCGACCGAGGAAATTTCTGAGCCGATAATACGGCCCGGTTAGCCGTCGCCGTGCGAGAGCACAGCGCGCGAGCTTCTTGTCTCCGCGCTGCGGAGGACGCGCCGATGCGCGACGAAATTGAGAGATTTACGCTGGCCTCGCAAGTCGATGCGCGCATTCGTCTTGCATTGCATTTTAATGCAGTTGACAGTTTACGTGCGCTGCAACAGCGCAGCAGAGGATCTCGTTCCCGCGCCCGCGAGTGAACTCGCGACTGTACGAGCCTCGCTGGAACACGAGGTAGTCTTTCATCCAAGCCCGGATATATATTTTATCTCATCGCGGCGTTCCGGCGAGACGAGCGTCTCTCTGACAATTGTTTCCAGCGTGTCCCCCCCTCAGTGTCATTAAGTGGGTGAACTTTTGAATTGAATGAATAACATAAGATATGCATATTGACAGAAAGTACCAAGCGAATGAACGTTTCACACCGCTAATGGGGCTGAGTCGCAAACTTCTTGTTCGCCGACAACGGGAGTTCTACGAGCGACGGTGATTGTTAATCTTATCCGGAAAAAGAAATATGCGTGCACGCTCGCGCATGGCGGATCTCGCTTCTTCCTTCAAGTTTCAAGTTCACCTGATCACCCTCGCTCGGCCAAACGAATAAATACAGCCGGCGGACTCGCGCACGCGCGCACCACAAAGCGCTCTCTCACGAACGAACGCGAAATGGCTTCTGTTGCAGGTCGAGATGAAGGGAATCTCTGGGCCCATTGAATTTAAAGAAGGCCGCAGGATTCAATTTAAATTGGATCTGCTGAAGCTGAAGCAACACTCGCTCGTCAAGGTACGTCGCGGCTTACCGAGCCAAACAGCAAGTGTATGTACGTCAGGACCGAATAACAGTGAATAACAGATAGGTATATAAAATTATATGTGGAACTAGGTCGGCGAGTGGCGTCCCGGCGCCGGCGTCAACGTCACAGACACCGCAGCCTTCTTCGAGCCCAGCATCGGCAACGTAACTTTGGTCGTGATCACTATACTGGTGAGTCGCCGTCGAGATCCGCGCGTCAACTGCGAACATTGCACTCGCGCGCTATTGAGTCGAGATATTAACCGAATTTTAAAAAATCGTTCGTCGACAACGGGGCTCGATGAGTGAGGAAGATATTGGACATCTTCTCTTCTGGGAACAAGTAGCTTCGTCGCGTGCGAGGGCGAGGTCTAAAAGTTACAAGAAAGATATTTCACGTTCGAGAAGAGAAGTATTATTTTCTCATTCCTTATCTTACCTCGAGGGATGACGAGAGAGCGCACGAGGCCGAAAAAAGAACACTCGGGCGACGGCCGAGCGTTTGCGTAGCATTCAGATGCATCTCGGGCAAATGTGTGTATGTGTGTGTGTGTGTGTGTGTGTGTGTCGCCTCGAATGTTGTGTCGACGATCAAGTTGCCGCTAAAGAGAAATGACAGTGTCGCGCGAAAGCGAACGCGAGCTGCCGCGGCGACTTTCGTTGTTTCGCAACTCTGGCACGGTCCGGTACCTCCCATTTTGCTAGAGCGAGGGCGAACGAGAGGAACGCGACGGCTGAGTTGCGAGTTTCTCGATATGGTCGGCGCCAATATGGTCGGTGTCCCGTCGTGGATACCCGCGTTACGGCGCGCGGTCTCAAAGCGTTATTCGTTATTCTTGCATGAATCCCGCCCCCGTTCACGGACAGGAGATGCCGTACGTGATGATGCACCAAGAAAAGAACTACACCGGCAATTCGCGGTTTTACGGTTTTTGCGTGGACCTCCTGGCGGCGGTGGCGAAGGAGGTGGGCTTCTCGTACCGGTTGGAGCTGGTGCCGGACAGGAAGTACGGTGCACGAGACCCGGAAACCGGCGAGTGGAACGGCATCGTCCGAGAGCTCATGCGACATGTACGATTCGGTTTGTTTTTATTTCTCACCTCTCTACTCGACTCACCTCCCCCTCCCTCCTCTCTCTCCCCGAGCACGTACAATCCCTCCCTCTCTCCTCTCGCCCGCTCTCATGTAATCGCTAGATATAATCGTTGGCTATCTCGAGTTAGGGACTTCTCGACGGACTTGTTAAGTGGCCGAGGAAGAGTTTTATTTTCTTCATGCCTTTTTTACAGCTCTCCTAAAAGTTCCTGTCTCTCCTTGTCTCTTTGTACACTTTGGGTTCACCGCTCGAGATCGCAGACTCACACGCGCACACGGACTATGTCTATGACGAGACCAAAGCACGGCAAGTGTGATGTTCCCCCGTAATAGCTTGACGGCCGGATGTACAGCCGCGGCGACGGTATCGATATATCGACATTAGCACGCGCAGCGACGTCCGTACAGCCCGCTTCTCAGCGGGTAAAATAAGAACGAGCACGATTAGAGAGTCTGTCTGTCCTCCCCTTGTCGCTTGTGTCCGTATCCCCCGGTTTCGAAGCCAACATTTCAGACCCAATTATCATCTTCGTTTGTGTATCAAGGCACGTTTCCGTTATGCTGACCCGCCGTTTGCCGAAACTATCCTCCTAGTAACTCATTGTGATCAATTACTCCGGTATCTACCATATCGTAGGACGAGGAGCCGCACCGTGCAAAGATAAATCACAAGCGGCGCGCACGTCGCAGTGTGCGACATCGGTAGAACGGCCGGCAGAACTCGCGAACGTCAATCGGCGTGTAATAAGACCGTAAATCAGTGAGCGGGCGAGTTAATGACCGATTACGCCGCTTAACGTAATGCCGCGGGATTAGCGAGGTCTGCTAGCGACACCGTTCGGCCGTGTTCCGGTTCGCGCGATTGGAATTGTCTTCGTAAGGATTTTACGAGACAACCGCCGCGATGACAGCGCGCTAATCTGCGTGTGAATCTGGAACTCGATGTGAATATTTTACCGCGACTGCGGTATTTAACAGAAGCGCGGGAACAATGGGGGACTTTTAAATATGTGTTTTGTTTTTTTTTTTTCTTAAAGCGACAGAAATTCTCTCTTATGTTACATGAAACGATTGAAATGTGTGAGTCGACACGGAAAATTTCTGCGCGGTACAGCAAATCGACTCGACTGTCGATGTTACAAAGAGCCATCAACGTCAGATGAGTTATGCCGTTATGCGTTACACAGCGCTTTGCACCACACATGATTCATAACTATTTAATTAAACATCGCTTGTCCTCGGTATGGGCTCAAAAATAAATGTGCGGCCGATATTTTTAGCTGGTCGCGGCGGATGGCTTTTCTCTTGATTAAAAGTAACGGCGGACAGGCGACGGGCGTATTATTAATGATCGCCAATAATATTTTAACGGAATAAAAATAAACGTGGATAAAATATTCTCTCTCTCTCTCTCTCTCTCTCTCTCTCTTTCTCTCTCTCTCTTTCTTGTGGTGCGACACAAACTCGATAAGTCTTGCGATATCGCGGGGCGAGATGAAGAGAGAGTTTCTCGAAACGTTCGCAGTGTTCAGTCAAAGTTTCGCGCAAATTCGCAACAATCGAACACCCATGCGATAGTTATTTATGGTAAATTAAAAAATAAGAAAGATAAGAAGAATGCGCGGAATATCGATCATACGATCGGAAGTTTGGAGAACTTCTCGAAGAATTGATGAACCTCGCCCTTTGAGCTAGACGCTCACTTATTACCCGTTAATACTATGCTCGTTGTAGACGTGAAAGTTAACTTCATGACTGCGAGTCTTCAGCACCGTCTGATCGATGCATGCGTGTCGCTTCGCAGCTACGGGCGTGTTCGGCGTTGAAATTCGCCGGGCTACCCTCTCGTTAAATCTTTCACGCTCTTACGGCTTCACGCTTCACGTGCTTCGCCACTTTATTCAAGATTCATGCATTATTCAACGGTGTGTTAAAAGTGGCCTTACAGCCTCCATTAAGATGGCCTTAAATTAATTTTATATCTCATCTCCTGCCCTTCTTAAATTGGATGTGCAGACTTTAACGCTCAGCGTGCTCCTGCCGTATGCATACGTCGTATCAACTATTCATTTTACGGGAGAGCGCCTGACTAATTTAACCCGACGTGTTTAATCCTCGATCCACGTGACGAAATCGAATATTGTCTCGCCGCGATTCTCGTGTTCTTTACACGTCTCGATAAGTATTCGCTCCCTTCCTCCTACGATCTCGCTCGTAAGAAATTATCATCCCGGGAATTATTTACTTGCGCAACCGCGCGCACCTAATTCACCGTATTCGCATTCCGCGACCGCTCGCTCGTGCGGCTTATTTAAATCTTACGTTTGAATTCTCAAGCTCTTTTCATGCATATGTATACGCGCGTATGCATAACAAATTTTTTCCCAAACGAATGTGAAGTCAAACAACACACACGAGATAAAGCCTGAACGTTATAACGTCTCTTGAATCCAGTCGCGAAGTTAACGAGATATTAGCGTGAAGAATAAAATTAACGGTGTATCGGGTAAACGTTCTGCGCGATGTCGAAAACGAATTCAACTTTCAGCGAATTAATGCGTTCTCCTCCTTTCTGTCTTTTTCCGGGCGTATCACTTTTTCGCACAGTTTAATATATACGTGCTAAATGCATTCTCTCCGTGTGAGTATGTGTGTGTGTGTGTGTGTGTGTGTGTGTGTGTGTGTTGGGTGTGTGTGGGTGTGTGTACTGTGCCATTGCGGTTAATCCGCTTGAGAATTCTCATATGTAACTCGTAAATAGCAAATCTGACGTCGACGTCCTCTCTAATTAAATCCTTTCCGTTTTCGCCGTATAATACAACCACTGTCCCCTTTTCATCCAAAATGGCGGAGGCTTCATGAAGTGAAGTTACTTTATTGCATTTCAAGAAGCCGATTTGAATTTAAATTTAAATCTAGACCGCTAGACCACTTCCAGCTCTAAGCTCTGAATATATGGCGACCGCGTGATAACGCCCGCAGCTGGAAACATCTTTTTGTTCACGCTATTTCCGCTCGTTCGTCGTAAGAATAATATTACCACGGTACAACGGGACATTTTTCTCTGCCCTGCACCCTCTCCCTCTCACTCTCTCTTTTTTCCTCTCTCTCTCTCTCTCTCTCTCTTGTTCTCGCCCTCTCCGATGCGCGTGTTTGTTTGCTCGCCCCGTACGTGCAATTATCGGAATTACTCGAATAATTTATCCGTTCCTTCCCCGTGTATCACCCGGCCCGGCGTAACCGTGCATCTCCAACACGCTCGATTATACAAATCAACGATGCATCAGACGTGCAGTCTGCGACTTCTGCGCGCGCGCGCGGGGAGGATACACGCGCTGAGCGTGATACAGGGTTCCTCTAATTAAAAGCGAACGCACGCGGTGTGCGAAGTTTCTTTATCTTTCTTTTTTTTGTTACCATGCAACCCTTGCACCGTGCGGAGTGCGTTGCGGAACGAGCGGAATCATTCGCAGGCACTTGCCATTGTCAACGCGCAGAATCGCGTCGCGGAGCCATAACAGGGCGGAAGAGCATTCGCGCCGGTTAACACCGGTAAGACGTAAAACAACGAAACGACGCGGTTCGCGACATTACGCAAATGAGGTTGACTCGGTAAGCCGCGCTCTAATTGACGTAATTTCACACGTTAATCGGCATTCTCGCACCTGAGTCTCCGAGGCGATACGAGCTGCATGCCGTGTACGACGACACGTAATTACGTATTCGCAGAGCGCGTCACGCATCGCTCGTGGGAATGTTCAGCGTAATAGTCTGTCGAAGAGTAATCCATTTAGCCGGTAATCAGCATGCCCGCATCTCTCTCTTTCGCGCGCGCGCGCGCTCTCTGGCTCATCCTCCTGATGCTCCGCGCGCCGAAGCGCATCCTCCGACGAGTCTGAACATAGCCGGAGAATGCCATCATAAATACTAATTAAAGCTGTCCGCGCCGTTACGAAGATGCACGGCCCGCTGTCGCTGTTACATTCCAGCATTCCTGAACTCTTCGATGCTGAGCGTATGGCGATGTCACTTTCACATCGGTCTCGCAGACGTCGTTTTGGAGTCGGCCCGAGTCGAGGCTAAACGTCCACGTCGCGTCGCGTCGCGTCGCGTCGCGTCGCGTCACGTCGCTTGCGATGTGACACATTGCGGATTAGGGACTTTCATGTGTCACTTTACTTCTTTTTCTCCTGGAAAATCGTCTTTCTCTCGGTCCCCTGTTCGTTTTATTTATCCGCCGCGCCGCGAGACTGCGACACACGACTGTTAATCTGCACTGAAAAGGAGGGAAGCAACCGTGTCGTGTGTATTTTTTTAACAATGAGTTTGTAGGCTACATCGTTCACTTCGGACTTTTGTACGTATTGTTATTTGTCTGTGTATCGTGAAATATTTTTAACATCGCAAGACCGCGGTGGCCGAACGCGGTGGCTCTTCACTGAGATCACAATACGTTCTGCTCGCGCTCATCATAAACCTTTTCTTACCGAGCGAACCACAGTCGGACCAACCACACCGTCGCTGATCACCGTGAGACAGAATACATCTTTGCAATGTTAATTCCGTGATTATATCACGATTCGCGTCGGACTACTATTTTTTTAGCCAAGCGTATCTACCGTGGTACGGGCGGAGCGCGAAGGATATACCGAAAAATCTCCCTGATCCCGTCAAACCCAGACCGAAGCCGTAAATCTTGATCTCCGCGCACGCGCGTGCGCGAATTTTGCCTCGTGGAGAACGAAAGAGAACAAAGATTTACATCCAGCCCCGTAAAATTGCCACGGCGAAGCCGTGGACGCCTTGATCGTTTCGCGCGACGTCAGTGACCTTGTCGCCGACCATACCGATAGAGAAACCCGGCAAGAGGCTGCAGTGTCCTGCGAGAAAGGACTAACAAAATGGGCGGGAAGACTGGCGGCCAGAGACGGAGATAGAGACGAGGAACGGAGCGGAATCGCGGGAGCGAGGACGCCCACGAGAGGCGAGCGAGAAACGGCAACAGCTCCTTTTTATGATCCCCGTAGGAGCAGCCGTACGTAATGCTGAAGACCGGGGGGAATTTCAGCGGGAACGCGCGCTACGAGGGCTTCTGCATCGACCTGCTGAAGGAGATAGCGCGCGTAGTGGGCTTCACCTACAGGATCGAGCTCGTGCCAGACGGCAAGTATGGCGTTTACGATTACGAGACCGGCGAATGGAACGGGATAGTGCGCCAACTGATGGACAAGGTGAGGTGTATGTGTATGCGTGTGTGTGCATGTGCGTGTGTACATACAGCAATACAGATGCCTGTGAGTTGCGCGAGTGTGTCGGGCGACGGATCGGGATTAGCGCGGAGACGCGCTAGAAAGTGCGCTCTTCTCTAATGCATGTGTTACCTCGACGGAGATTGCGCGATAATGCCGGCGAGTTGTATCCAAAGCTCTGTCGAAATAGTCGACAGTTGATTTCAAGTCAGTCCCCGACACCAGCCGGCGGTTGGCGCCTTTGGCTACCTTGAAGAGCCGCAGCACGCGCTAGACAAGTTGCGGCGATCGAATCGGCGAACTTTCGCAGAAACAGCACGCCATCGGCAACGCACAGCGATACGATTTATGCGACACATGCTGCGGGAACGACGTGTGCACGATCTACTGCGCGTCGTCCTGGGATTGTTGACTTGAGGCCACCACCGTGGCGTAGTTTGATAGACGTAACAAAAGGTAGTTAAGTGAGCTTGCGACGCTGGCGTTTTATCGCCGCTCAGGAAACGTAGCTCGTCCTCTAGGGGAGCATATTGGTAATCCGCACGGAGAACACCGTCGACTCCCGCGGTGAAATCTATGAAACCTTATTATCCGAAATTTAGGTGAAGTTATCTACACTCGCGCCGCGTAATCGGACGTTAGTACGCAGCCGCCGACTAGATCGGCAGATGGATGTACGATTGAAGTCGCCGGCGGGAATTGGGAAATATCTGCTGCAGCGACGTATCGACCGCGCGAATCAATGACAGGATTTCTCCTTCGAATGATGCAAACATATCCGCATGTTAAAGTTTGCCTCGATTTGTCATGTTTGTTGGAAACAGCGTAGGATGATTATGGTTATGGAAAATATTCCCCGTTGAATAAGCGACGAGGGAATTAACTTGAAGAATTCGATCAATTTCGCAGAAGATGACTTTAAATCACTCCTCCGCTATGTCTTACAACAATAATGCTAATCTCGTTGTTGTTGCAACACAAGACACGTAGAACGGAGCGAATTTCAGCGACCTCGTCGCGAATGAATGAGATGTGTCGCGTGGAGATTATTTTTTTCAAAATTGAATCTATCGCGATATTTATTTGCGATTGTTGCCTGAATCGGTGAATGAAGGAGTAACACGCGTGCCGAAAAGGTCGAGTCCTGCGTCTTCTTGTACCTGCGTCGACTCACTCGCGCGAGTCGCGTCGCGGCTCTTTACAGCTGCAGCGCGCATGCGTGAGCGACCACGTGGCCGAGCGACCGCGTGCTCGGCCGATCAGCTGACATGGCACGGAAGTGGGGAGGCTAGGCTGCGTTCCAGCCGCGTGAGGTTTGTAATCGCGCGTCATAGGATTGCCATGTGAACTTGCCCCCACTCATATGCGACTTAACACTTGCTTAACACGTGCTTAACATAGCACGTGCTGTGGACTTTGCCTCGATAGCGCCGAATCGATCCAGGATGGTAAAAAACGGCTCGATATAATAATTAATGTCTTCACGAAAACCATCGTGATATCAAATGAGATCTCAAATGGTATAATGAGGAAAAGAAAAGGGTGACAACATTCCCAAAACCACGCTCCATTGCCATGAATTTTGCTGGAATATCTCAATTGATCTTAAATGGACTTTCACCAACAAAAGATTTTAATGCCAGAAAAGTTTCAGAAATGATCGCTGATAACCTTGCTGTACCTTCTCAGTTAAGTCGATGTATTACTATATAATCATATATTTGTTTTAAATTGAAAGATAAAACAGCCGTATTTTTTACAGTGATTTCAGTTAGATTAGAACAAATATTTATTTGTCTTCGTATAAACATGTGACAGTGCGTAGATAAACCTGGGAAAATGATATAATACCAAAAGCGATCGTAATGTTATTTGATTACTTTTGACATTAAAGTTGCAGCAATTACCAGAGAGAGACGTGGACAGTTTTCGCAAGTTTACCCAAAGAAAATAGCAATCCAACGCGCAAAGGTTAGGTTGCGCGTAATAACCGCAAATAGGAAAGAAATGATGAAACATAAAAGTGATGGCGGAAGAGATACGTTTTCATATTAAACTCCGCATATTGCGCTTTATCAGGCCACAGCGCGAGGATTTTCTGCCTTCCACCGCAACTTCCCTCCTTTTTCCTTTTCTTTCGCTCTCCTCTCACCGCGTCCAGTTTCACAAACTTTGAGAGGAAGGCGCGCGTCGCGCGAAGTTTAATAGCTCGTGCAGCTTTCGGCAAATTAGGACCGCGCGCTTCGCGCGAAAAAAGGACACGGTTTCAGGAGGGCGTTTCGCTAGCGCGAAGCTAGCCGTGCGTGGCGAAATCGTAGCGCACGGCGCTCGGCAATTGGCGCGAATCGCCAGCCCGTTGCCGGCACTTGCCGGCGCTAAATGCGTAGGCTTAGACGCGCGGCGGATGCTACTCGCTTTTGCAATTCAAATCACGGACAGATGCGCCGGGATGCTCGGATACGCGAGCGACACGTTTCTAGCGGGAAAGCGTGAAACTGGCTCCTCCTCGCATCGCCTATTGCTGCGTCTACATTTCAAGTAGGCAACATGCGCGCGAGCACGCGGCCTAGGACTGATTAAGCGCCACCGGTTCTACCGGATTTCAATATCCCGCTGACATTTCTAGCAGATGCAATAACAAGCATAGCCGGCAACGGCGCGATAACAATGTCGGTCGCGTCACCTGAGGCATCCCGGGGGGGACGCATACGTGACTTCGCCGCTAATCCGTCGAATGTCGCGCGCTGATACCGTTTAATTTTTCGAAATAACTTAGCCGCGGAGATTGCGCATGCGGCGACACGCGCTGGGCCAACGCGATTATCGGCACGCGCTCTCGTTATCTCGTTTAATCGGCTTGCCGTCACCGATCCGTATAACTTTTCAAACGTGTTTGGTCTCGTTTCGAATGTAAATTAATGAGACACGACGGTGTCACCATCGGCCACTGTTACCGCCGCTAATGGAAACAGAGGGACGCTAACGAGATTATCTCGAGTCGGTTACTTTTACCGAAACGTTAATACATGTACGCATGTGCATTTGTGCAACGTCCCGCGGCGATTTGCAATCTCCGCGCAGCAGGAAGCTCGAGAGTCTCCCAGGTAATCGACTCTGCATCTGGATGGTCTTGTAGCATCCTCCGCTGTAAATACACGCGACGACGTCCAAACGTTGCAGCCAAACACAGTAGTTAAGTTGCATTAGTTGCATTATTAAAAGTCGTAGAGCTCGAGCATTATCTTTCTGTAGTCGTTTTCTATTGTCTCACGTACATTCGTCAGCGAGAGCGGTAAAAAGCGATGGTGGTGGAAATTCGTTCGAACGCTTCGCACAATCGCTTGATGAATTCCCGAATTTTTTATTCCGCGAGTCTCCCCCTCGTAGGAAAATGTGTATAAACGGCTGTTTTCCCCCCGCGCATCGTGCAGCGCGCGTTTCACTCGTTCTCTCTTTTCTTTTTCTCCCCACTTTCTTTTAACGCGTTTAAAAGCGCCCTCGTTTCCGGGGCGGGGGGGAGGGGGGAGGGGACTAAGTAGGATATAACTAGTCGTGTATCTCGGAGCGATATCTACATTCCAAAAGTACTTTCGCAGTAAATCCCAAAGTTCGGGATTGGGCTTAGTATCCGGCGGTCCCAGAGCCCAAGGGCGCACTTTTATCACGATGAATAATGCATAACCCGGTATGTAACAGAAACTGCGCCCCTGTATGGAAAATAATTAATTCCATCCCCTTCAATGTAATGCGATGGAGGTATCCGCTAATCTACCAACGACTCCGCTAAATGGATAACGTTAAGTAAATATGCGGCTTATTTAACTCGCGAGCGCGTTTGAAACGTTCGTGCTTAATCTAGCGTTGCAATATTTCCAGACAGTATTTTGAAGGAATTCTGCTCTGAGCTGCAGCGTCGATTATAGGCTGAAGCTTGCTTTAATCTCCACACTCGCAATATTCTCGTTTGGGGAAAATATTTTCCGCGACTCTCCGCACTCTGCGGATCATTGAACGCGTTTAAATGACGTGATTTGAGACGACGTATGAAAAACGTATGAAAAACGCTTCAGCCAATTGCACGCTTATGCGCGCGTAAATGAAACATTTTCGGGCGCGGGTCGATCATATAATCGCGAATGCAACCGAATGACCAAAGCCTATCGTTTACTCAGTCTCTGTCGCTCGTGAGGAAAGGGCCTGAAATTGTTGAATAAAAATTTGCCGATAAAGTTCGAAGGTAACCCGTTTCCCCCCGGCGCACATTTCCTCGGGGCAAGAGCTGAGTGTGCTTACATTTTAACTCGACGACAATGGAAGCCATCCGTCGCCGACCAGATCCATCTCGCGGCAAGGAAGGCGCGAGCGCTCGGCCGGACGGAATAATCGTGTTAAAATTTGGAGACGAAGCGAGCGACGCACGGAAACAACGGTTATTAATCGTCTAATATCTGCCGATCCGCGGATAGCATTGAGCGCTCGCCAGCGGTTAGTGGCGCGATCGCCGATATAACAAACGTGCATACATACAAACGGCGCGCGCACATATGGGGCGGCATGAAACGATGAGAAATCGCGCGATACGACTCCGCAAAATTTCTCATTTTCGTCGCTCCCGCGGACTGGCGCGTTACAAAGCGCCCGGCACTATGTTATCCGGACGGCAGTATTAATTTTGTCAGATGATCATTAATAATGCTCGCCTCGTCGCGCAGCCGCGGAGCGCCGAGGGCCGGAGCCGGTAAAACCCTCGGACGGAAAAGTGACGATAAAAAAGTGACCGCGTAATATGGCTAGAAGCGCGTCGTATTTTAACGACTTATATACTAACATGGTTAAGAGGTTCTCGACGAGAGACGTCCGCGGCACGTCAAAGCGTAGAGCGGTCGAGCGTGGCCGGTGACTAGTTAGCGACATGTTAATTAACATACATGTCTTTTCAACTGCCCTCGCCCTAAGCGCGGCCCGGTTCATCTTCAACTGGTTCATCTCCAACATTTCTTGCGCTTGTGCAATTTCTTTCCTTCCCGGCGGAAAGCATGTCAGCAGCAAAGTGTTCCGCGCCGTGAGAAGCATCGCAACACGGGGCGATGAAAATGGCGGCGAATGATAAGTCTCTTGAGAGGAAAGAGAGGGAGAAATTTCAACGAAAGATTAACGCAACGAATTTCCCAATATTTGCGCAGTCGAATTATCGAAATATCTTTCGTCACTCGAAGACGGGAACACGTATGAGGCTGCGTCGATATTGTGTCTTTAACTGGATATTCTTTCGCCTGGACTCTCGATGGAGTATTATTTGTCGGATGTGACAAAGTACTCGAAAACGAGTTAACACGACATTGTGGAAATGATTAGCTGGCGGAGACAATTTCCGGACGCCAAAGTGACGCGGGGGAAAGTGAATGTGTACATGACGGTGCGTGTAAGAGTAACAATTATTTTCATATCCCACATTTACATACCGACAGTCCCGCGCGAAATTGATATCCGCGCATCATTTTTTCCGGCGCACTATCATTCGAAAGCGGCCTCTGGCTTTCGCGCTGGTCGCGACACGTCGATGTGTGAAAACAACGGCCGGTCGTACATTCATAAACGATTGACGGCAACGATGCATCGCGACTCCGCAATGGCGCCATGCTGTCATCGTGCGAGAGCGCGCGCAACAAATTATTGCGACCGTCATGCAGGCTTGCACGTAAAAGCGTAGCATAAATCACGCGCGAATTAGCGCGACGTCGAGTCCGAAATATCTTTCCGGATGAACCGCTGCCGTTTTACACGACGTCGATGTCGGATATTTCAGCTGTCCGTCGTACGAGAGATCAGTCGCGATTCTCGATTATTCCATTGATGGCTTCGCCGTCGACGGTCACAATGTAGTGGCGGCCGGTATCTATGAAGTATCGACTTTTTCGCGCGAAGGAATGAGAGAGAGAGAGAGAGAGAGAGAGAGAGAGAGAGAGAGAGAGAGAGAGAGAGAGAGAGAAAGCGTGTGACCGCGCTCTCCGGATGGATTATTGCACGCGGATATTCCAGCGGGCAGAAGCGATAGGCGCGAGTGCAACAGTCCGCGATAAATTACGCCTAAACGATATCTAATCGCGACACGCGGGGATAAATATTCGCGGGTCCCCGCCACGCCGCGGTCGCGGAGATCGCCGGAGGGTGCGACGAGACCTTGATTACGAGGGATTTCGTTCTCGAGCGAGACGAACGTGAGAATAAATCGTCGTGAGAAACGGCGCCTTCGTGCCTCGCGATGCGCCTCGCGATTGAAATTTACCGCTAGTCTAGTCGCAATTTCCTGACGATGTAGCGGCGTAGATACATACGTGTAAAACATAAAACGCGAATGTTGTACAACGTAACAACATCCCGGGACGAGAATTGGCATTCGCGCGAGGTGCCGCGCGGCTGCCAGGAGCGAGTGTATAAATTATGTCCCGCCGACAAAGACGCGCGCGACGTTTACGGGAAACATGTAAACGCCGCCGCAGCAGCCGTTGGCTTTGAACATTCACGCGAGAGAGCGCGCGCGCGCGTGCGCGCTATCGCCGGCGGACGCGAAGGAAAGGACAAGGGATCTTCCCCCCGGTAGCTCCTATCTGGGCGGCGTTCCCAGCGCAGAGATGATACGCGCGCGTTCTCCGCGTGTGCAGCGCAAGCCGGGCATAAATCCAGCCGGGCTGCCGGCGAGCGCGCTCGCAGACGCTGAAAAAGCAGTTAGATATCGCGAGGCGGAAGAGTGCGTATGCACGACGTGAAAGGTCTTTCGCCCCAGACGCGGCTCCGTTCAATCGCCGGCAACATTTCGCTCAGCCGCGTCAGCTATTCCGCGGTCCGCGTGTCTAAATAATTTTCCGCACCTGCCGCGACGCGAGCCGCGACGCCGTTCGCGAGCGACACTCGCGAGACACGTGTATCACGTGTATGATATTTTGATTAAATCCGGCCGAAAAGCGCCGATCAACGGAACTCGCTCGGGAATATTTCATATTCAGTTGGATTTGGGGTGTGACGAGCGCCGTCCGTCCTTCTTCCCCTACCTCTCGCAGAGAGCTGATCTCGCGGGCGGCTCGGTGACGATTATGATTCAATCTGGCCGGGGGTGTCGATTGAGGGGACTCTCGGAAACGCTTCATGTTCGGTTGGGTATTTAGTGTGATGATTTTTGCCTCGCAGAGAATTGATCTGGCGATCGATTCAATGACGATTACGACTAAATCTGAGCGGGGATATCAATCGAAGGAACTCTTGGCGATGTTTCACATTGAATTGGAGTTTGAACGTTTTTCCGCTTTTCTTTCCCCACTTTGCGAGAAACTGTTCTCGCGGTCGGCTGAATGACGATTATGATTGAATCCGACCGAAGATATCGATCGAAAGAATTCTTCAGGATGTTTCACGCTCGATCCGAGTCTCAATGTGACGAATTTATGCCTATCCTCCTTCCCTGCTTCGCTAAAAGCTGATCTCGCAGTCGGCTCGACGAGGGCCGTAATAAAATTCGGCCGGAGGTATCGATCGAGGGAACTCTCAGAGACACTTCGTGTTTAATTGAACCTTTAATGCGACGAATTGCAACGCTGTCCTTCTCTTTCCTGCTTGGCGGAAAGCTGCCGTCGCGGTCGGCTCGATGACGATTACGATTAAATCCGGCCGGAAATATCAACCGCAGGTACTCTCGGCAGCGCTTCATGTTGAAATGAATGTTGAATGTGACGAATTATATCCGGTTTTTCTTTCCTGCTTCGCAGAAAGCTGATCTCGCAGTCGGCTCGATGACGATCAACTATGCGCGCGAGAGCGTCATCGACTTCACGAAGCCGTTCATGAACCTGGGCATTTCGATCCTCTTCAAGGTAAGAACCGTCTCGCCCGATTCGCGGCTCCACCGAGCCGGAGAGGCCGCTATAAACGGCCGAAATTTATCCCGTTACAAGGCAGCAATTATCCGGCGGCCGTTTGGGATGGCGCTGAAACGGGCCATTCTGTATAAGCCACCCCCTTAATCCCGACCCGCTCGAAATGCCTTCACTCCGATAGCTCATATTTTTATTTCGTCCACATCCCGGCGGTTGTTGCCGGCGGGTCTTGATTCTTTCATCCGTCCCCCTTTGTTGGTCTTTCTCCTCATCCTGTGTATTTTTCTACGCCGTGCATCTGTTATTCTTATTTGCCTCTTCCCCCCCCCCTCCTCTCCGTCCCCGTTGTTGCCGCGCGCATTGTTCGGGTTATTTTTATTCGACAACCGACGAGCTCGCTCGCGCTCAAGAATCAACGCGACGTCCATAAGGGTTTCGCAGCGTTGAATAATAACATCTCCGTCGATATCTCTCGCGTTCCCCCGTCATAACACGTATCCCCCCTTTCTCCGGATCCGTCGGATGTGCGTCCGGTCATGTGAGAGAAGCGATACTTTGATATCCGATAAAGATGATCTTCCCAGGGCGCGCGCACGTTTTTCCAGCTTTCGTCGACTCGATATAGCGGCTTTGCCGAAGGGATAATTTTATCCGAGATAACGCCGTCTCGCGAGTGAGGGACCGCTATTCACGTGGCTGTAATTTCGTCCGACTTCGACGCTGTCTGACCATAACTAGCGCTTATCTACTTACCCATGAAACGACCACGATGCTTGATAACGCCCGCGTGTCCGGATAAACCCTCCGCCACTTGACTAGAAGCCAGTTAATAGTTCTACGTAAATACCGTGCGCATAGAAGAGGTTCGCAGTAGTTACTGACCGTGCATGGCCAGACGAGCCATGAGTCCATCGTCCGCGCGTCCGACCGACGCACAGTGAGGCTAGATGACATTTTTTGGTTGAAAATTCTCTAGAGACCTGAATTTCCAATCGATCATCGACACCGATGGATGATTGGTTGATCCTGAATAAATTCCAAAGAGATCTGTCCAGCCGAAATTATGAAAACATTATCGGCTCAGGGTTCACGGATTTAGGGTTTGTCTTAAAAGTTTATCGTTTAAAATACAGTGTCTTGGGTTCGACCTCAATGGGCTCGAGCCTATGGATACTAAATGCGAGACCTCAGAACCCTTTATAATCACCATTTAGAAAACTCAGAATTTCAAAACTCATCATTTCAGCCCATATTGAGAAAAAATTAAGGATTAAAATCCCTCGGTTTTGTGCTCAACGGATTTATATTTGACATTTTTGTAATTTTGGGTTAAAGGATTTCTGATTCAAGATCGAGGTGTCTGCTGATTGATTTCATAGTTTCAATCCTCTGAATACGCTATCGGATAGAAATAAGTGTCGAATAATGAGTATTTCACAAGTTTCTCGCGTTTAACGATAATTTTTCCTCTTTTGGGGCTAGTAATTCGAGAAAAAAATTTCATTTTTAATTTTCTCTTCGGAATTTATTCAAGATCAACCTCATCCATTGGTGTCGACGATCGCTTGGAAATTCAGGTCTCTAAAGAATTATCAACCAAAGAACGTCATCTGGCCCCACACGCGCGACGGCGCGTTATATCTCGTTAGATATCTCGCGCGTTCCACGATATTTTTCGACCGACACCCGAAACGGTACGGTGGCCTATTTGTCGAAACGCGCTGTGAGAAAGAATCGTGAGTTAAACAACATTTAACACAAGACTTTAATTGCACGACGGCAATGTGATATGACAGTCATTAGCGGAAACACTCGCAAATATTGAACGCTGCATATTTCACGTCATCAAAATAACGCATTTCCAATTAAAGTTATGCATTACAGTTCTATTACCGCGTCATAATATACGTCATAATCATTACGGTTTATCAAATCACTCTGAAATAATTACCGCGAAATTCGCGTTTACGCGCAGTTATCTCTGCGAGAGCCTCCTCGCGCCGCACAGCACAGCTCTGCCAGCACGGCGGGCTCATTTAACCCTCCGTTAGTCGCGCGCAATATTTTTCACCCATGAATGGTCGCGATGTGTCTCGCAGATATTAATTCTTCCGTTATTTTCCTCCGCTTCTCGAGACAATTTCTCTTTCAATCACACTTGGCTACCAGACGCTACCAAAGCATGATACAAAATATTGAGAAATAAAATAAAATTGACGAGCGGATCCGGGCGGATAAAAAACAAGTGCAGCAACGGCGGCATTCGTCGCAGCCCGAACGTGTACCTATTGGAGGATATTGCGACTGCTAACGAAGGGTTAAAAGGTCTCGCACATTGCACGTACAACAGACATAGCTCTCCGCCGTGGGCGCTGCAAATTTGAATTCTCCCGAGAGCTCGTTCCACGGTTGTAAGATAAGGCAGACGCGCGACGGCAATACTCCGCCGCGCTGCGATGCATTCGCATCAGCGTGCACACGTGCGCGTTTTCGCTTATAATGGCGCAGCACGTGTCGCAGCGGCGTCGAAAGGGCGCGAGACGAGCGGGCGGACTAATTAGAGCGAGTCGCAAGTGATGGCGCGTAGATGATTTAATAATCTCTACGTATCGTCGATCGGCTTGCTCGCCGAATTAGCGAGCCGATTAATTTGATATTTGTTCGACGGCCTGTTTTCCCGTCGACTCCTCCTCCATCTATCCACTCAACCGGCTATCCTTCTACCTCTACACTCAACTTCTCTTTGCACTTCCACGTCGCTGTTCGACACCTCCGCTCTCCCTTTCTTTCTGTTCCTCTCGATTCTGTCCCATCGCTGGCGAAACTTTAATTATTCTCACGATGACGTATCCGGTTGTCTTTCCCTCCGGACTCGCGGATCTCAGCGGCGATCGATTCGCGGCGTGACAGCGCAGAGGAGTCCCCGAAGTTTCAGCTCGCGCTAAATAATTCGGGATGCCGAGATCCTGCTTGGAGTTAGCTTCTCTCGGGCAGCTGCACTTTATGCACCGTAACGACGTAGTAGGATTCGCTTGCTCCGAAGTTAATAATGGCACTGGCTGACAGTGGTAGTAGCGCCGGGCGGGGCGGAGATGATACCGCCGGAGAAGTTAATTCGTCGAGCTTTCGTAATAAAATTTTCGCGACGACGATCGGCGGAGGGGGGGAAGGGCGGCTCGCTCCGGCTCGCCGGGGTCGCTTCCGCCCTCTCGTCTCTAATTTCTCGGCTTTCCACGGGAAACCCGATCGGACGTTGGGACCGGCGAAATTTACGGGAGCGGTAGTTTCTATTCGATCTCACTGCGCCTTCGTTATCTATCCTGTTCTCTTTTGTGCCGTTTTCTTTCCCTACTCCTTTCTTTTTGTCGCGCTCGCGCTCTCTCGATCCGCCGCCGGGACGGAAGTGTAATTTTTCACCGTTGTATATACGTCGAAGCGCCGTTCAACGAGTCATTTTCTTCTCTATTCCTGACTCATCGAGGTGCCGTATTGATAATGAAGTCAAGGAATCAGCGCTATTAAAGCCGACGTCGTTGGAGCAACTGCGAAGTACCAGAGGGCTCTTGGCGCACTGGCAATGCAATTTCTGCGTGATAAGTCGCTGAAATTAATTGTCCCGCCTTCGCGACAATTAATAACCCGATGGACTTTTCGATTAATACCGCCGCGACGTTCTCTCCAACGGCAGCTTTGACATCGTGACGTGTCATTTTTTATCGATCCAGCCAGCGAACATCCTTTTCGGACATAAGCTGTACAAAAAAAAAAAAAGAAACACAGAGTTTATCGTGCCGGCGAGTTTTCGTGTTGTCGAATGGAAATCTGCAAACCGTGTGTGCAAGTTTCATCGTCCGCTTTTTACGGATTATCCGCTCAAGCTGCATTACGCGCGTTTCCGTTGCGTGCGATCACCTTTCGGCCTCCCATCGCTCGGCGGCCCTTTTCCGCCGTGATCCGCAACGGATGCGCGTGTACGCGCAATTACGATAATAATAGCAGATTCAGAAGCAATTACGTACGTATTGTCTAACCGAACATTCACCGCGACCGTTAATGCGCAAAGTTCGCGCGCGAAATTGTTCGCGTCCCGGCCCACCGTGGCGCGAGTCGACTGCTTAATGAAGATAATTGAGCGAATCACCGTTACCAAGTGAAGCGGCAGTGACGCGGTAATCTCCCGTCGCGAATGACTGGCGGATTAATTGTAGATTACGTGTCGCACTCGACGGGATCCTCGAAAGACGCTCCCCCGTGCGTCGTCGCGCAATCGTCGCTCCGTTGTCGCGCCGGAATCCGATCGATCGCGGCGAAGCAAACCGATCAATTTGCCGAATAATCCTATCAACCGAGATCGATCGTCCGGCCAGATGGCGACGCCGTACTTGCGCCGCGTGACGTAACTCCGCTACAATTGCGTTCCCCGCGCGGACTGATCGGGCGCGAAAACTCGTTAAGTGGATCTCTCATGAATTGATTAAAACGATGGGAGCTTTTTCACCGCGCCGATGATAAGTTGCCCTCCGATGCGGATTGAAGACCCGCTTCTCCGCTGCAGAGGGAGAGAAAGAGGGTGGCGGGCGAGAAGAGGGGGAGAGATTTCCTCTCCGATACTTGGGGAGAAGGCGCAGTCTCTTTTCGCTGATTGCACCAATCGACGTCGACCAGCGAGCACGCTCTCTAATTAATGTAAGGCGATCATTTAATGCTGCAATTAATGCTGCAGCCGGTAGCCGTTCCCACTCAAAGCATCCTTTAATCATCCCCCCCGGCCGTCCTATCCGTCCGCCGTGATCCCACACCGTGATCGTCATGTACTCGCGTATACCCGGCGCGAATATACGCGAAATAAAGCCGCTCGCCGCGTTAAACGCCGCGTTAATATCGCGAATTCTTCGGATGCGGTATTTTCACGGATCGATCGAGCGACCGCTTTTTTCCCGCCATCTCTCTTCACGCCGCCGGCGTGGCCGAGGCGACGGTATTTTCGACTCGATTTCTCTTAGCGCGAATCGACGTCCGCTTTATCGCGTGAACAGGCGTTAAATGTTACATCGGCTAATTTTATCCGCGCCGAAATGATCGACAACCGCCGATAGCATCCGGCGATACGATATAAATAAAAAATCAGCGAGCTCGATATTTCCTCTCCGTTTTATTACCTCCCTTCCGCTGCCTTCTCTCAATAATGCAAATTCATCGAGTTCACCGTTAAACTCAGCGTCTTATAAATGTACGCCTTGTGTAACTCGCCGGTGTATGAGTAAATATTTACGCGAGACAATATGTATGCGGACGAAATGTAGACATTATGAGAAAATCGCGTGACACGCGGGGAATAAAATTTACAAATTTTACAGCGACGTGCAACGTAATGCAACAATATCGGAAATATTTTCCGCGGCGCGCGTATGGATGGATGAATTCTGCAAGAAATATGTGCACTTTGTTGGATTTTCATGCGGAGAGCTCCGACATGCGCGCGCACGTGGTCGTGCAAAAACGGCCGGCCGGACGTACGAATTGCGTTGAATTGTAATTTGAGCCCGGAGCAAATTCAATCGCTATATCGTTCGCGCTAATCGATTTCGATATTGTCACGCGCTCAATTAAGATCGAATTAACCGGTTAAATTAACCGTACCGTTAGAAATTTCTCTCCTTCCACGCGTCGACACGCGCATCACTTCGTTGCGCGTTACGGTCAGATTAATTAAGCCACTTTAACGAACCCCCTCTCTTTTATACGAGTGTAATAACGAGATGTCCGAATAATTGAAACAAACCTAGCGTAGAAATTCGCAATGTTGTACTTCGCGCGATGAAAGCGCGCTTGAACGCTCCTTCGTAAAAAGCCAAGTTGGCTTTCAAAAGGCCGCAATTACGCGAGATTTTTAATCTCGCGACGTCAAGTGACGTCGTCGAGGCGTTTCACGCACGCGCGTTAGAATCCCGCGCTAAAACGATGTAACAATAGATTGCGTAAAAGTTACGTTGTGTAAAAATAGACAGTTCGCGCGCGAGAGTGCGGCGGGAGTAAGGGAACCGATTTCCAACCGAGTTTCCAACTGCGAGAGTGTCGGCCGTGAAGTATCTCTGCCTCGAATATCAAACTCCCTCGTTCTCCGTCGCACGGCGAGCCGCGACGACGGCAAACGATGTTTACCTGAAATTCCTTTACAGGTGCCGACCAGCCATCCGGCGCGGCTCTTCTCCTTTATGAATCCACTGGCGATCGAGATCTGGCTGTGCGTCTTGGGGGCGTATGTTTTGGTGTCGGTGACGATGTTTATCGTGGCCCGGTTCAGCCCGTACGAGTGGAACAATCCGCATCCGTGTCACGCCGGGCAGGAAGTCGTCGAGAACCAATTCTCCTTGTCGAACAGCTTCTGGTTCACTATCGGGACCCTCATGCAGCAAGGCAGCGATCTGAATCCCAAGGTTTGCGCTCGCAACCATCGCTAATAATTCGTCGCTCGAACAACACGGACTGTAACGGCAACGTCGACAACGCGATACACACGAAACGCGATTGCGCGATAGATGGCCGTTTAGTGTTGCACGCGAACGGAAATTACATCGCAAGTGCGTAATTGCGTTATGTTAATCAACGTCGTAATTAGCCCTCATAAACGGACTTGTCGATGTCGCTTGGAACCATTATCAGGTCGTAATAGCTGCTGTTCAGTCCTCGCTCTCTTCACGCGACAATGGCCAGTCGCGAAACTAAATCGCCGCGCAATTGGAGTCGCTCTGCGGTGAGGCGACGCATACGCGCATTCCCTCAAAATGTTCGCGCTGCATAATTTTCGCGATACACGTCGTTGTACATATTATCGGCGTTTATGTCCGATATACTTAATGCAGTGGCCGGCGCTTACTCATCTGTTAAATCCGACAGGAAATGTTGAGCGATACCTAAAGTCGCTATCGTCGCAGCTGCGTTCTTGCGTGGAAACGAGAGCAAGTCCCCAGTAAGATTAAAAACGACTAATTACATTTCTGCAATTCCCTATTTACGTTAATCTAATTACACGCTTCAAATAGACCGTCTCCACTCGAAGTGACCGGCTGCTTGATGTCTTTAGATATCCTCGCGACGATGCCTCGCAATTTTTCTTAGAGCGACGAACACGAGCACTCCTGTTTGAGGAATCTGCAGTTTTCATTCGCGGACTTTAGCTTTCGAATTAGTTTTCAAACACTGGGATCCCATCCAACGAGATGAAACACGTTAATCCTTGGAATTACTGAAATATATAGAACGGATGAAAGTATTGGGTTTCCAATGTAATGAGAAATTAACGTTGCTGCAATTTTAAAGCCATTTTATTGTGTCCACGCTGTAAAACGATATCACGGTGTTTCGAAGTTATAGTTGTAGAACTATAATAGAAAATTCACAAAGCGGATTATAAAGTCTTAACTAGCGTAAATCTTCGAACTAGCGCACTAGTCGTTCTCGAAATATTCCTTCCATTTTACAGGATGTTATAAACCTGTATTTGATAAAACTCGATCTGTGGATATGTGTGTGTGTGTGTGTGTGTAAGATTATAAAAACTTTGGTAAAAATTGATTTGATGAATTTGACAAACATTGACAACAACGTTCAGAAAAATATTAATTTTCATCAATGATAAAAATTAATACAGAATTATCGGTGACACACATACGTACACACGTATATATACAGACCGAGAGAGAGAGAGAGAGAGAGAGAGAGAGAGAGAGAGAGAGAGAGAGCTAATCGGACAAGCATTTGTATTTCACGTTTTCCTGCCATGAACGCTGAGATGAAACAAATAAAATCCGAACAAATCTGTCCTTCAGGCTACAAGCACGCGCATCGTAGGTGGCATATGGTGGTTCTTCACCTTGATCATCATCTCGTCGTACACTGCGAATCTGGCGGCTTTCCTTACGGTAGAGAGAATGATCACGCCGATTGAGAACGCGGAGGACCTCGCCAGCCAAACGGATATCGCGTACGGGACTCTCGACAGCGGAAGCACTATGACTTTCTTCAGGGTGATTAATGTTCCGTCGTCTACATCACGAACGCGAGAAGAAAAGTATATTTTTAACGATGCGAGCGATCTCTCTTGCGAGTTATAGCATGTTTATCTCACAAGGGGGCTTACCTTCACACAATCGCACGAATTTGCGTTAAATTTACAGTTTGTGCGTACGAGGCAAAGATTGCGCCAGACATTCGCGCGATCGATGTGAAAGCAATTATCTCGCAGTTATTATGATAATCGCTGCCGTTCGCACGAAGGCGAGGCTTTTTACTACGTCTCCCGTCTTCGGCGCTCTGCGACGAAAACTTTCACCGGCGGTTAATTATAAAATAATATTTACCGGTTTCCTGCCTGCCGTAATGACGATATTGATCACTACAACGACGACGAAATCTATTCCCTGTGTACGTGTCGATTTCTCGGTTGAAGGACTCGATGATCGAGACGTACAAGAAAATGTGGCGTTTCATGGAGAACAAGAAGCCGTCGGTGTTCGTCCCGACTTACGAGGAAGGTATCCAGCGGGTGCTACAGGGTGACTACGCCTTTCTGATGGAGTCGACCATGCTGGATTATATCGTTCAGAGAGATTGCAATCTCACGCAAATCGGCGGACTTTTGGACACCAAGGGATATGGAATCGCCACACCTATGGGTGAGTAAAGAATCTGAGTCAGTATTTTCTTTTATTCCGATGCACACGCTTTGCGTGAGATTTGTATACTATATATGCACAGGATGTCCGGGATCTTTTGGAAACGAAAAATTGTGAAGATTAATCGGTGAAAATCAATCGGCTACTGTGCCTAGCGGCAGATTCAAGATTCAGAGTTCAAAGTTCAATATATACTCATATTTATCGCTAGACACAATAGCCGCCATATAATTGTAGATTAGGTCAATCTGAACAGAAAAGTCGTCCTTTACTTTTGCAAATAAGTACGCAAATTTTCAAGTTATTAATTAAAAGAGCCTCTAGATGTGGTCATTTTCAATCAATAATCACTTAATAGCTATTGCGATTTTTGCAAAATGGTACTTTTCTTCTCAGCCTGATCTGATGAATCTTCAGAATTTTTCGTTTCCAAAAGATCCCGGACACCCGCGTACATAACCGCGCATTCTTACCAGGAACTCTATTGGTCTTCGAAGGTAAACCACGCGATATTACTTAAATCGGGCATAAGTAATATGTTTTTTTTCTACTATATTGTAATTGAGACAATACCTGCAAAAAGACCTCCATCTGTTGCAATTTTCACAGTTTTGTTGCTCCAAGTATTCGTACTAGGGGGAGATTGAAGCAGCTGCGTTTGCATGCTCGATGTTTGTATATTTGCGCTACGAATAAGATTGCAGTGCTACGATAAGTTGCTACGATAAGCAGCTACGATAAGTTGCAGTGGTGCACAGAGTAAGAAAAATCGATCTTGTTTGCGATCCAATTGTAAATCGATATGTATACTCGCCCGCCCAAAGTGATTGGTGTATGATTCTCGAAAAATTCCCCACAGGTTCCCCATGGAGGGATAAGATATCTCTGGCGATTTTGGAGCTGCAAGAGAAAGGCGAAATTCAGATGCTGTATGACAAATGGTGGAAAAGTCCCGGGGATACTTGCATGAGAACGGAAAAGGGAAAGGAGAGTAAAGCCAACGCTCTGGGCGTCGACAACATAGGTGAATGCTTTTCCCAGAATAGCTCGTGGTCTAAATTATATGCGCCATAAGTTCCGTCCTAAAGTCGTAATTTACAAATGCCTCATTATAGCCGCAGACATGCTTTACTGTCTTCGTTAACTTATTATTCTTGCGAGAACGACTGTTGTTTCCTTACGCTTCTCTTTTTTACAAGCCTCACCGTTCTATGAAACTTTTCCGAGGTAAAACATAGATTTTGGGGAATCAAACTGCGTAGTTTTTTCCGTGCTGTTCAGCGATCGCTTGCTGGCAGACTAGACGTACCAAAAACTCTCTTCTTATTTTACAAAGTACGGAAGGTCGAGCGTGCATTATATTCCGCAGAAAGTTCATGTTTCGCTGGATAAACTATTTTTCTATTTAAAATTACCTTTATAGATCGTTCGTTCAATTTTTACAGCTTGATGTGTGAATCTAATTGTTTAATTCTCGCTTTAATTAAGTTATTGTGGATTTGAAATCATTTGGAAAATGATTTTAATTTAATTCAAAGCAATCAGCATTCTTTAAACTAAATTGAAATGGTTTTTAATCACAAATTAATTTAACAATGAATAAATTAATTTGTACCGATGATTAAATCGATCATTTGAGTTAACTGTTAAATTAATTTGTACAAATCAAAACTTTCGCACTGCCGTGTTGAAATCTCTCTCGGTAACAGCCCAGTCATAATCGCCGCGATCCTTTTTAGGAGGGGTCTTTGTGGTTTTATTGTGCGGCTTGGCATTCGCCGTGCTCATAGCGATTTTCGAGTTCTGCTACAACTCAAGAAGGAACACGCCGGCGGAACGGGTGAGCGGTTCATCTACTGCAAAAGTCACCATTGAAATACGTTTCAATGAATCGTCAGCACGTTTAAATTGCACGACTTTTACTCGCCGACGTCGCTGTTTGTCGAGCCGAGGCTCTCAAATATACAATCAATCCGCCGCTACAAAAAATTCCAGAGTTATCGATACACTCGCGATCTTTCTTTGCTTCATCGGAGATAGCTTGAAAATCACGCGCCGTCGTAGCGATAAACGGGAATTATATTCCCGATTTCCAAAAGCAGCCCGTCTATGTATCTGAGAAACGAATCGATCGATAGCCGGTAGCTGGCGGATTGGACAAGTACGCATGATCGTAGACGTAAGCGTTGCATGACGTTCTCTTTGTTTCATCGCGACGTCATGGATTTCGCCGCATCAGCATGAGCTCATCGTCCATTGAAGCATGCCGCTCAACTGCAAACATCCCAAGCCCAGTTGCAAAGAAAGGTCCGTTCCGCCATCAAGAGAATTTTTTACGTACTATGCGAGTCCTCTTTTGCCGTTTCTCTTAGCATGACCCCGCGTTTCGTAAAGTATTGATTTTAAGTAATACTTGTTGCGTACAAACGCGTCGCTGATAATTTTTCACCGTACGTCGGAGCGTTTCAGAGTCGGCGGGCAGGTGAAGTCAATTTAGCGTTAGCGAGGAAATGGAAGGAGTTATCAAGCCTTAAATTGCAATACTGTCGCGATAAGGTCATAATAATAACAGCGCTACAATTATTCCACAATGGAACATTATTTTAAATTTTACTTGCGGAACGCGTCACATCGGACGGCTCATAACTATCGATATTTTCGCTAAGAGGGAGAATCGAGCTCGAGTCTCATGTAGAACAATGCTACGTTCGCTTCCGTTGACTCAAAGACGCCTCACACAGCGCAGTGTATCGTGATAAAGCTCCAAGTGTCAAACAACACGCGCAAATAAATCGTCGTTATCCGCTGATACAGCAAAGGCCTCCGATGGCGACGCCTACCACCACCGGTTCTCTGCAGGGAATTTCTCAGGCCGTGCAGCAGCAACAGCAGCAGCAGCAGCAGCAACAGCAACAGCAGCAGCAGCAGCAGCAGCAGCAACAACAATGCCAGCAGCCGCAACAACAGCAGCAACAACCGAATCAACAGCAAGAGTCGCTCTGTTCGGAGATGGCACGCGAGCTCTGCCGTGCCTTACGCTGCCACGCGTCGTCTCGACGACGTCGACGCACCTGCGACAAATGCTCCACGCACGTGATCGGCTATCCGCCGGATAATCCCACTGCCACCCCCATAAACGGGATGAGGTCCCAGGTAATTGTTCCTTGGATTATCCAGTCGCTGTAAAGTCTGTAAAGTCCGCCTCGGGCGATCTACAACTCGCACAACAATTCAGGAAGGCATCTTGTTTGTAATTTTTCGCGCCTCGTGCGATACGGAAAACATTTCGGTATCGCAAGTGATAGAATTATCGCTTTCACACTCTATTTGCTTTATCGACCGATTTTCAATCGACTTCTCCCTGCCGGAAATTTCACCGAATATATCATGTTCCTAAATGTTTTACTTGTTGAGCGTTAAGAATTACACTCTTTTAAAAATTAGTTGAAACGTATTATTTTTTTTTTGTCGTACGGATATCGTGATTTAGGATGTCAGAATGTGTGCGAGTTTCCAAAGTTATTTGAGAAACTCTCTTATTTTCAAGACGGTCCTGAATATAGAAGCTAACTCCCCCTTCCCTCCTCCTCACTCCTCCCTCCCTCTCCCCCTCTCCTCTCTCACTATTTCTCTTCCTCTCCCTCCTCCCTCCTCTCCTCTTTCTCTCTCTCTCTCTCTCTCACTCTCTCTCTCTCTCCCTCTCTCCCCCTGTCTCTCCCTGTCTCTTCCTGTCTCTCCTTGTCTCTTCCTGTCTCTCCCTGTCTCTCCCTGTCTCTTCCTGTCTCTCCCTGTCTCTCCCTGTCTCTATATTCGTAGCAACTTTTTTGTTTGCTTTAATGGAAAAAATATAACAATCTAATTCCGTATATTCCATCGATTTGAAACTCTGTATATTTTTTTACCATCCGTATTGTATATTGCCGCATATTTTTTACTACCTGATATTGATACTACTATCTCTATTACATATCTACCTATCGTGTTGCAGAGAAGCAGCCTGGCCATGCCCGTAGTCGAACTGCCTCCACACATCCATATGCATCATCACGCACCGCCGCACGATTACAACGGCAACTAGAGCCGAGGGACGTCCTCATCGAGACGAAGTAACAGTGTGACACTAGTCGTAGCCCAGAAACAAGTACAAAAAGCGTATCATGCGTCGTGAAGAAGCGGAAAAAAGTCGGATCGGCCCGCACGCCGATTCGCGACCCGTCAAGAAGCACGAGCCTTCACTTTTTAAATCCCGACGAGTTTTGCACAATATCGCGGAATCGCAATCGACGTTTTACAATCATGAAGGGAGCTTAAATACGCATTTGTATGGCGAACGTGCGCGCCGTTTTTCCGCACGTTTGACAAATCCGTCGAAATCGACGCGGTAACAAAACGGCGGTAATCGATGAAACGGTGAAATGACTCCGAAGTGGCCTCTCTCGTTCGTGAATTTTGTACTATTCGTCGACCCGCGGGGCATATTATAATTACAGCGACGCGTGATCGACAGTGTTCTCCGCTTTATTTGTTAAATTTTCGAGTACATCGAGATGACGTGACGCTATCTAGGGGAACGTTAAAAAATTTTAATTAACGAATTACAACGGGATGTATCAAGTTCCGAGAGAAATTTCCTCCATCAATCATGCTATTGGGGTCAATATTCAGTTTAACAACGAGTTCAAGTATTTGATAGATCTACGTTATTCCCCAGGGAGCTTTAATAGATTGCCAATAATCGTAATAGTGTAATTTAGTCGAGCGATTTTTAGCATACGTTGAGATCGACGGCTCTCTGTAAAAAACTGTCGAATTCACGGGAAAATTCAACGATGTACAAAACGAACGTGGGGAGGAATATTTTTTTCTGTACTCCCCCTCCCTCTCTCTCTCTCTCTCTCTCTCTTTCTTTCTCTCTCTCAACGTAGAAATGTCACGTAAGAATTTCTCCGATAAATTGATCCTGCCCCTGAAATTTTCATTTTTAGCTTACACAGGTCTCGCGCTCGAGGCCTGCGTTGTTGCGAAACGATTACTGCGAATTAGCGCGTCCACGACGCCGAGAAACCTAATCTTCCTTCGATTGCTACGGTATCGTTAAGATCATTCAATTAAGAGAGTAGTGCGCTGAACTTAGGGATAGACGATGAAAAATCCTTCCGTCCTACATCCTGAGAATCAGGCCATTCGTTTACGTCCGCGATCGTGAACTCAACGATGGTCCTCCGCCGTCTAGCACGTTCACGCTACTCTCGCACGAAATCCGACGTTCGATCTATGCACAGAACGACGCTCGAACACACACCCTGTTAATAAACGCGTTCTCTCACCGCGAAAGGCGAGACCGTAATGACACAGCGCGTAATGTGTAATAACCGAAGTACTTGCGAGATATTCTGTAAATATCGCTGTGAAAATAAAAACAAAGAGAGAGAAATGGCAGCAGCCAGCTGATCGTAACGGGAATATTTTATGCAAAAGTGGACGAGTGAGTAATCGTTAGCGCTAATCGAGTACAACTTAGACGTTTGGTGTTATGTATATGCGTGTTGTATATGCTGATAGACGGTGAATAAATGTAAGATGAGAGAACGGACGTATGTCGTTGTCCTTTCTTTTGCTCTGTACCTGCTCTGCCCGCGCAATTAAGAGATCGGTGATCTCGCAAGAACTGTGAGGTGTGCGATCTGTACAAGAAGATTGACGATGCGCAATTCTTGCTCTCGAAGCAAGAAAATATCATTCGACGAGAGAGTCGCTTCTCCTGCTTAAATTTCACACACATCAAAAGTTCATCCACTATACCACCCGGTAGAGTAACGAAAGATACAATGAATAACAGATACAAGAATAATGAATCCTTCGCAGGTTGGGTGAGCCGCAGAAAATAGAAACGCTCGAGGTTGCCTTTTTTATATAACATCATTTATTAAGGGATAAAATAAATGACAAATAACATATCACTTATATGAAACTATAATATTTCTTAGTGTTCATTATTCGTTATGATATAAAAGAAATCACATCACATATACAACCCCCCGCGCATACGGCGGCGATCGCTCGGTCGCTCGAATCCTCGCGTACGGCGCGCGACGTACGAAAAGCGAACAGAATCCGTCAGCCAGCCATCGGGGAACACGCGAACGGCCGGGCAACCGCGGGAAGTTCCGCGATATTCCCGGGCGAACCTCCGGAGAAGAGAGGCCGAGCGCGCTCGCACCGGTCCATGATAAGATTAGGCTACGACCGCGACGCTTAATCGAATCAACATGACCGGGATGTTACGGCGAGCTACGCGAGCGAGGAATTCCCCGAGCTGTGCGCCTTTTCGGCAGGACACCCTCGTCGTCGATGAAATCGTAAACTCTCAGCAGAACGTCGCGCCGGCCGTATCGACGGTTCGAGCGAGAACGACCGCGCTGGCTCCACTCGCCTACATACAGGATATTTCTCTAATCGCACGCTAATCGAACCAGGACGAGACGAATGAGAGGAGGAACGCTTCCCCCTCGCGTGAATCGTGTGTCGCAGACGTGCGATCAAGAAGCACCTGCAATAGCAATCCACTCGATCGTCGCGGGGGTGGCCTGGTCAAATCACTTGTAATTATCACACAATCATTCTCGACACGGTGGCATGTACTATTTTAATATGCTTTTGTGACTTTCGGAGGTGGACTCTCTCAGTTGTGCACGGCTCCCATGTGTGCCCTCGAAATCTCTCCTTCCCTCTGTCTCACCTCCTTCCTCCTCCTCTTCCTCCTTCTCTTCCTCCTTTTCCTCCTTCCTCCCTTTCCTCCCTACATCACGGGAGCTGAAACTCCCTCGAGACGGTTACACAACGAGCTTTAGAGCCGATTCACAACGTCTATATATATATATATATTATTTTTTTGTTTTTTTTCTGCTTTTTAAATGCTTCACTCCGCCGCGCGCGTGCACCTTCTTACACTTTTCTCCCTCACCGCCTCCCTTTCTCTCTCCCCCTCTCTCTCTCTCTCTCTCTCTCTTCTCCATTACCATTACTTATCCACCTCCAAGGGTTTCGCTAAACGCTTTACCAAGACGCTTTACCTAAACGCTTTACCAAGACGTCGACTCGAAAGTCGAACGTCGACCGACGCGCCCTGCCTCGCGTGTTCAAGAGAGAAACAGAGCAGTAAGGAAAGGTGCGGCGTGATCGGACGTGAGAGGGCCGCCAGAGTAACTACCTGCGCTCTTTCGAAACAAGTAGCTATCATACGAACTGTAAGAACGCGGAAGATGCTGGAAGATATCACGAGGACGTATCTCGGCATCTTGTCGCGAAGCTGACTCTTGCGAAATGACTTGGCGTCTCTGCCCCTCGGTGCCGTCGATCGCGCCGCAACGTTTTCCCCGCCGGAGAAGAAGCGTCCGCCTAAAACGCATCGTGCAACTCTCAGTCTCTCCCTTTCTTCTTCGCTATCCTGGTCTCTCTTCTACCTCGTCCTCCCGCCGTACCGCTATTCCGCTCTTAAGAGTATCGCGGAAATATGATTCGGCCCAGTGTGACTCGCCGCAGCGGCATTCGCGCACAGCTTCTCAACGAGGATGCCGTTTACAGAATATAAAAAAAAAAAAAGAGAGGAAACGTGAACAATAAAAAATATGTGGAGCAAGACGCTTTGTATAGTCGCCGCAGCGTCCTCTCTGTTACAACGACGATTCTCTTTCTCTCTACAAGCCTCGTGCGCATATTCCTCTTTTCCTTTGTTATTTCTTTCTTCCTCTCCTCCCTTCCCTCTTTCTTTCTCTTTCTCTCCTGATTACTATATTATGAGATCAATCTGCGCACGGTTACCGCAAACACCACTTTTACAGCTTCCAGTCGGATCGCCTCACCGATGAGCATCGATTAATTTGTCGCGAAGCCGATTCCGCTCATCATAAAGCGAATGAAGCGAATGATGATGAAGAAGAAATGAGGATAGAGAACGAATAAAATAAAATGGAACGCAGAATAAGGATTAGTCTAAACAATGGTGTCCGTGAGAGAAGCATAATAAAATAGATAAAATAGATAATGAATGGGATATACGATAGAATAAATAAAGTTTAACAAATATATACGGAATGAGAGAAAGAGAGAAAGAGGAGGAGGGGGGGGGGGTAGAAAAGCAGATTTAAGAGAAGTGTGAAGATGAGAAACTAGTCGAAAGATAAAAAGGAATGAAAAGGAGACGAGACTGCAAAAAGTTCTAGAATTCACGTCATACCTCGTCGCTCGTTTGAAACATGTTAAATTAGTAAAATTTCACGTAAAGTCTAATTTATTCTTATAAAATTGGATTTGCGAACAGACGACAGATGTGTCAGTACGCACGTTCACGTGCGTGTGCTATTATTTTTTTAAATCAGGAAAGCTGAGACACGTCTTGATGCCGATACGATTTTCGCCGGAATAACGTTGTTACAACCTACGTCGCTACGTAATCGCATTAAACGCGCTATGTCACGCCGGTGATACGTATCGAGATTTGCATTACCATTCCTTCGAGGCAAACTAAAACAGTGTTTCGAATAAAATTATATAGCGGACGCTGCGAATCGTGACGATTAAAAGCTATATGATGCGCGGAGAAAAATTGGGTCGCGCAAACGTCTGAACGTAAAGCGATTAAATAAAATATCCATGAGCACACACGTGAGAACGTACGCGATTGGACGCTCGCGATTATTGGAGAGCCGAGTATCGGATGTCGTTTGTTCTGATCCTGTGCGGATGCGAATCTCGTCTAAATCAATTTATGCGTTCACACGTGCGGTGATAAAACAAAAAAAAAAGAGAAAAGTTCAAGCGGTCGCAACGTTGTTGTCACATGCATCTCTTTGGTTTCGACTTCGTATACCAGCAAGCTTTCGCATTGCGAACATGTAAACACACCGGTCGAGAATCTAATTAGAAATAATCTATTGTAAGATCCAATGATCGATATCGCGTTTTCCTCGTACGGACGACTCGACAGCGGCATACGCGCGCTCGCGATTCACGAATATTCGAACATACAAGAAAAAAAAGAAAGACAATGCGACCTCCCCAGGCACCACGTCGTCGATCGCGAACGGTGTCTTTGTCGTGGGAGAAAAAAAAAGGCACGCCGTAATTGTGAGCAGAGAAATGTGCTCGGCAAATAATACATCAATCGAGAAGACGAAAGGCGAAGGAAGAGGTGTACGTATAAAAAAAGAGAAAAGCGAAAGCAAAGAGAGAAGAAGCAGAGACAGATGGTGGGAAAATTGAGAAAAAGGAGAAACACAGAGAAAAGAGAGTATGTGAGAAAGACAAGTAACAACCGACAGGAAATAATTCCAAAGAGGAAAAAAGCAAAACTGAAAATACTGTCGTTCGTTCGCGCGCGCGCGACGAACTGCGGGCGTTCGCCGTGTCGGATCGCAATTGTCCCTCCCTGCTTCCCTCCCGCCCTTCCATCCTCTTTTACATCTTCTCTCACTCCCCTCGACGCTGCTCGACGGGCGAACGGCAAGACACGGTGCACAAAGCAAAGAGAGAAAAAGTTCGATCGCCAGGTGTTGGTTCCGCCGACTCGGCTCCTCCGGCGAGACGAGATAAGCGAGACGCGTTTCTATTTAAACTCTCGGACTGATATGTAGAGACATCATCTAAGGAAAGAAAAACGCGCCGCTGTTGGTCGAAGGGTCTCGCTGTTACTGCTTATTCATTGGTTCCGCATCGTTCAGACGATCCGTGCGTGCACGCGTGTATGTGTTTGCGTCGGAACCGGCGTTCTGAAACGCGACTTCGCACCGCGGAATAAATCTCCGTCTCCGGATGTTGCAAGGAGAACATATCGCTCGCGTCCGCGAGGGGGAAACGGTTATAAGGGGGGTATTATTCTGGCGTCGCTTCCCGATAGACTAGATAGATAACGATCGAGGATCGGGACGCGAAGGTGGTCGCGATAAATATTTCCCGTGCAAGATTCAAGACCGCGTATCGAATTTCTGCAACATTTTGTAAGAATTTACCCGCTACGATTTTCATTGCGACAGTTTTAAATCTTCCGTCTAGAGAATCGTATCCACGACTCATCGGGATTACATCGAGAGTCAGTTCTCCTGCTTATATCGCGGCAAGTTTCAGATAGATAGAGGCAAGATCGCGACAAGTGTCAGCGTCGTGTCATTCATCGTCGATCGTCGTTTGAATTGAGATCGAGAAACCGTCCGTGAGAGAACGAATTCGCACTCCAGAATGCCAATTCTCCTCGTCGAGATCACACTTGCAAATAAATCAGTTATACGCGGCGCACGCGCGCACGCATAGCATACATACACACCCCACGCACGGTTACATAATAAAGAGACACCGTAATTACAAACTCTACACGTAGAATTGTCAATCTTCCGGTTACGCGCGTACTCACACGCGCGCAACGACGTCACATACACACTCTCTCTCTCTCTCTCTCTTTCTCTCTCTCTCTCTCTCTCTCTCTCTCTCTCTCTCTCTCTCTCTCTCTCTCTCTTCCTCTCGTCGAGTTAATCGTAAATATGCGTATATATGTATCTATATATATACATATATATATTCGCTTTATGTGTGTGTGTTATACATATATATAGATATATGCGATCACAGAACACGTATAATTCGCGTGTAACAGTTTGTGCCACGTTCTTCGTGTGTGTAACCTTAACGATCTATATAAGGATTTGATTTTTTTAAACAGCCTCTCCGTCCTCGCCGCGCGCACTCCGACGTCGCAGAAGCGGCGTCCCCGCTATTAACGACCGTCAATTACCGAAGAAGAGACGGGGCTCCGTCAGTCGTGCGTCGCGCCCCTCGCGATCTACTTAAAAGCTGTCACCCTCCTCTTTTTCCTCTTTTCCTTGCTACCTTTCATCCCTTTAGTGTTTTAACGCTACGCCAAAGGCATGGAAATTCGTTGATAAGCGCCCGCACGCGCGGAAAGTCGCGCGTCAAGAGATTGGTGTTCTCCGGCGTTCCGATCTCGGCCGGTCGCGATTCTCTCGCGAGTTTGTTGGCTCGCGCGCACGACTCGGACAATCCGTGTCCGTCGTCTCTCTGAACCACCTCGCCCACAGCGCTTTCTCTCGGAAGGGACAGAGAGGAGCGGAACGATTTTTTTCCTCTGGCGCTTGTATTCCGCCAGGACAGCAGCCGAATTCGCTTCTTCGTGTGCAGCTTGACGCGCACGCGACACTCGCGATGCGCGTCGCTTCTCGTAGACTGTCGTCAAGCACGCATGTACGCGACCACGCATCACCCTACAGTCTAAGATTCACTCGACGTACGCGTGTGACAAAAGGTAGGTACGATTTGATGATAGCTTTCATGGGTTACGAGACAAAGTCGCGTCGGAAATCAAAAATGAAACGCGTATATATATATATATATATATACACACATATATATATATGTGTGTGTATATATGTGTGTATATATATGTGTGTGTGTGTGTGTGTGTGTGTATATATGTGCACATCGCGAACGCGGCGCGAAAGACCATTTCTCGGTCCTCCCTCCGTTCGTCGAGTATCGTCAAATATCGACGCGATCCGCGATGATTTCGAGTCGGCGTGCGCGCGACGGAAACGGAAACTCGAAACTCGGAACCCGAGATGCCGGGGCGCGAGTCCGAGCGAAAACCGCAGCGATGATCGCGCGTACAATTACGGATTCAGCGTAAACCGATGTTCCTTAATTTAACCTTAACGAGTAATTTTCCATCCCTGGACAAGACATCCGACAAAAAGGAAAAATGAAAAATCGCGAAAAAATGGAGCTACGCATGCTTTTGTCTCGCTTGACGCGTGTGTGTACGCGCGTGTGCGGTAACGCGTCCACCTGCGACAAGCGAAGGTGCGAACGCACCTGCGAAACGCACGGAAGATCGAAACCTAAACGCGAAGGATGTTGTGTGTGTTTATGTGTGTGTTTCCGTCTGTGTTTGTGTGTATGTGTGTGTGTATCTACGTTGTAACGTTACAAGCGCGACGCGAAAGCTTCTAACAGGCGAGAGCAAACTTTAACAGATCTGAAACATAAACGATACGCACAAATAACAGTCTGCTACGATGTCGAACGTAGAAAAATACAAGTGTCTATGTACAAAACGAATTATAAATCTCTCCTCCTCGTCATCCCCCGTCTTCCTATCTCTGTTCGATATATCCTTTTCTCTCTTTTTCCTCCCTCTCTGTTTCTTCCTCTCTTCTTTCCCTCCTCCTCCTCCTCTTTCTCCTTTGCCTTGCATTTCATTTTTCTCATCCGCTCTCGAAACACGTAGAAAAAACTCTCTTGCCCACCACGGATGATGTTTGACGCGAATCGACGGAACTGGAGCTGCGCGATCGACGCGATCGTTGAGTAGTCGCTCGGAGAATGGAGATGCGCCGAGTTCGTCGAGTTAGATGGACGAGAGCGAACGGCTGGACGAGGAATCGCGCCGAGGGCGCAGCCGAAAGAAATGATCAAACAGCGAGTTATCCAACGCGGCTGCTCCCACAATCTACGTCGACGCTGCTGCTGCTCTCTGCTGTTCTCTCTTTCCTCCTTCCTCCTCTTTGCTCTTCCGTTATCGCCTTTTCAGCGCTTACCGAAGAGCCGCGATTGCCGTCTATCGCCGGCGGCACACCAATCGAACCATGAAGTGACGGCCCTACGCGAAGGACGGCGCCGCACACGCCCGAGCAAAAGCGGGCCCCAATCTCCATGCCTCTCCCCCCAAGTCGCGTGCGTGTGTGTTTCGTATGGGACTCGATGATACCGTGTGCTCGCTCGCTCGATGCTCCTTCCGTGCCGTGTGCAGAACCCCGCGGAAACATCGCGCGAATTCGCGCGGGAAAACAAATCGACAAACTGACTGACAGACAGCAGACAGGCGAAGGGGCGACGTGGAACTCCGCTTTACGTCATATACCGCATCACGGCACGAAGAGCGTATAGCAGTTCCGCTTGCATGCGAGCCTCTAGGATCATCAGGCACACGTGGACCTAGAGAGAACAGAAAGAGAAAACGGTATTTAGCGGCATGCTCGAGACTGTCGACACGCGGAGATTCTTTTCTCTTCGATACTCCGACGGTTTCGGCGATCGTTACTTGGAAAAGTTAAAAAGGGAATTATTATTGGCACATACTTCACCGCTTAAAACTTGTCCTTGTTCTTGCTGACGAAATTAAATTACCGCTAATTCCGAATGCGCGCAATGTGCAACTTGCGTGGCTTAATGTTAATTTTCTATCTTCTGCGACTATTTTCAGCCGGGCTGTGAACGACACTTCGTACGTTTAGCATGTTTAACTTTTAAACTTGTTTACGATGTCGGTGCCGCTTGCCTCATGTTAATTTCGATGGTACTTGATATTCAAAGCGAGACCGTACGCGCAAACTTATCATTTGTTTTTCAAATGGATCCCGGATAACATACAGAGACGGAACAGAATTGAAACCGAGAGCTCGAGAGCTCGAACGTTTCAATCGAGCAAACTAATTATTCCCGAGTGCATTTTCATTCCTTCCCTCCCCCCATCCCTCCCTCTCTGCGTACCTTTTCGCTGTGTTTGAACTCCCTCATAACGCGATCGTAGTCCCTCTTGGTGACGCGCTCTGGATAACAAACGGCGCTCTTGATGAAGGTCTTCAAGCTTCGTTCGAGCAATTGATTGACCTCATTGTAATCGTAATCGTCGTGCCTTATGCCGAACATGCACTGTATGTAGTTCCAGATCGCCCGTCTGAAGCGCGACGTGTCGACCTTGTTGTGCGTGCCCATTGTGTAGTACGTCAGATTGTACGCGGTCTTGAACTTGTCATCGAGGAGATTGCCGACGTCGTTGTACAGACGGTTTACCAGGGAGTAGCCGTGATCGTCCCAAGAGCAATCCTGGACGCGGAAGGTCGGTATGTCGTTCAGCTGACCGCGCTAAAGGGCATAGCAGAGAAGAGCGCGTTGAGAGAAAGCGACGCTAAGAGAAGCGAAATCGACGAGCTACTTCGAGGGAAGATCCCGCGTGATTCGGCGGGCCGGAAAAATTATGTTGGAAGAGAAAAAGGAGAGATAACGGCATGTGCAAGCACTCGCGTTATCTGTCTCGGCGAGTGGTTTTATTATCTCGCGCATTAACGGCTGATGCGTAATCGCCGTGCGTGCGTGCGTGCGCGCGCGCGCGCGCGCGCACGCCTCGCCTTCATAGCTACTTTAAGTCACAACACACACAATGCTGTTGCTCGTTGTAAATATTCATAGTAACGCGAGCGCTATCATCGCCGTCGTTCCGTCGCCTCCGCCTCCGCCGCCGCCGCCGCCGCCGTCCGTCGTTGTCGTTGTCGTCGTTGTCGTCGTCGTCGTCATCGTTGCGAGAGAAGCGAGCCGGTTTAAATATTCATGGATGATGCTATACAAGCTACCTTGGAATATCCTTTCGGCTGTAATCCATTGCGCGCTATGCGTGCGAAAGTAACGCAAACCGCCGCTGCCGTTGTAGTCGAGTAACAAATCGGCGAATTGCGTTATCAACGTTAAATGAACTAATTAAGATACGTCACACATCATCGGCGGCGGCGTTTCCGCGACTGCCTGTTTTATCGTAACGAGCGTGTCGCTCGGAACGACGATGAAAGGTGTTGCTGTTTGATCGCCTGTACACACCCACGCGCCTACACGATGCGCGAAGGAGAACCTACCTTGGCGAAATCCTGGTAGATGAAAGTGGGGTCCTCGATGAAAAGACCGATATCCGAGTCAAGGACCGAGCTACTCCTCTGCGGCGCCGCCGCCAGCTCGGCTGATTGCGTCTCGACAGTCTCGAATCTCTTCGACAGCTCCTCCTGTGTGATCTGATAAGACTCGGACTTTTCCGAGAGGCGCTTCATACGTTCCATCAGAGTCTCCACTCCGACCTCCTGCTCGCCGACTATGCTCGGCGATGATGGCGGCGACGGTATATTTTCTGCACGGATCAAGATAACGCGATATTACATGGACTCGTATTACATTCTTTCGCACATTCTAGACGCACGATCGTAAACAGGAGGAACGCGTTTTAGTCGCCTGCGTACGCGTGCACGTGCACGTGCACGTGCACGTGTGTGCGTGGGGAATTTAATTATCATTATGATCGGCGTTGCTCATCATCATAGCTGCGCGCGATTTAGTAACGTACCAGTCTTGCCGTCACTGTTGGGAATCTTCTTAGGGCTGCTGGAAAGTTTATCTTTGGCTGGTGGTACGTTACTACTATTGTCCTGGCTGTTGTCCTTGTAGTGATGGCCGGTCACATTGTCCAGTTCTTCGTTGATTCCGCAGGAAAAGACGAAAGACGACAAAGAATGGAAATGCGCTAATAGAACTATCGCGTGGACGACCTCTGCTATGGTCCAATTGTCGTCGCCCTTAGTCAGTTTCTGGGGACACACACACACACATACATATATATATATATATACACGTAGACACACTTGAGAATCAAGCGCGCTATTCTCGCGAGACAAGGTACACTTCGCGAACAGCTCGCCGCTTACCTCTATGTGCGCCTTGGTCAGGAGCCACGGTCTGTGGGCTAGGATCTTATTGATCTCATAGAGATCTTGCAGCTTCCCTGGAATCGATCTCAGGCCTTGGAGCCACGAGAGGTCACCGCCCTGCAGCAGGAACTCTCCCTTCTGCAGGTTTATAAGGTAGCTACACTGGTGCCTACCCGCGGCCTGAAAGCACACGAGGATGCATCTTTTTAAACTCGTTCTTCTTCTCTCGTCGAATCGTTCCGTCTTATCTCGCGACTTTTCCGAGAATTGTTTTTGCCATCTTCTCACTGTGATCGCGCCACCTCTCTCGTGCGTTCCCAACTTGTTATTATTACTATTATCGTCGAGAGGCGCTTACGCGATTGTCCAAGGTTCTCGAGGAAAAACTGCTTCCCGTGACAGATTAGCGATTAGTTCGAGAGACGAACTCGGTTCACCTCCGCGGATAATCGTACAGATATAGAGATGTTCCCCCATATGCAACGCGCGTTTTACATACTTTTAACATCGAGTCGAGTAATGACATATTATATTACGGCCTAATCAATGCACGCACCATGCCGCCCGATAAATCAACTAATTTATAGTGGTCGTTATACTTCGACGGCCGAGCGGCCCGTAATCTTGATTATCGCGCTAACCTCAGGCTGTACATCATGGGCCAGATATACAGGCACGCAGAATTAGCTTGCAGATAATGCCCGGCGATAAGATACTACCTATAGGGAAATAAGTGCGAATAAAACGACCGAGAGCACGCGAATCGACCGAAAGCAATTTTGCCCCGCGAGGAATTTCTATTTGAGTGCTGCCGCCGTCGCGCATGCATTATTGCCGCCGATGTGTGTGTGTGTGTGTGTGTCTGTGTGTGTATGTACACATGCGCACATGTACGCGCATCGATACCACGCACAATCGCGCGCCGATAAACGGTAGATTTCTCGTTCCACAAATTTTCGAGGACGGCGCCGGGTTATTGGCTCGATTTTGAAGGGCTCGCGCCCGCGTGCCGCGCGTTTTTCAATAACAAATTTCGACCGGCGAGAGAGAGAGAGAGAGAGAGAGAGAGAGAGAGAGAGAGAGAGAGAGAGGCAAATTGACGGTAACGTGACGACGCATCGGAGCGCAAAATTGTGCGAGGTCGCGGCCGGCAATATCGCGCCGTTATCACGCGCAGCATGATTTTCGAACACGCGTCAAATAACACACACGGTAGATTGGGAGAGAACACGCTATGCTTGAACGTCGCGTGTTCCCTCCGAGCGACGCGGTTCACTTGTCTCTCTAATTGTCGTCACGCTTATAATAAGCGGTAAATGGAAAGAAAGTCTCCGTCGTACGCAAAGAGAAGGTTAATCTTGTCGCGTGTGTCCAGAGACTAATAAGCTCGCTACGTTTGTAACGGTCGAATGAAGCAAAAAGTTCGGGGAACGTCAGAAACTGTCGTGAAAGATGCACGACTTGAGACTTGTGAACGGGGTGTACTGTGTGGATATTTATAACTTATTAATTTTATTTCATTCCGACGTCTCATGTGGCGTCTCTCATATGGCGACGCTGTATTACATATCACAGCTGCTTCGTGCAGACTTAACGCAGACGCGGGGATATTCATCGTGAGTGTCTCATCAAAACGAAAGGATCGAAAGGGACAAGTGATATCTCTCCAGCGCGGAGGGAAATTCAGTCGCGACGACGTTTGTACATCTTCTCACGCGAACGGGACGACTGATTTTTGAAAATGCGATTTGAATTTTATGCACGAGGCCGCGCGAATTTCTCCACGGGCTATCCGCGATGGCAGAACGTCAAACGACGCTTTCTCCTTTCTTCCTTTTCTTTTCTTCTCTCTCTCTCTCTCCCTCTCTCTCTGTTTTTTTTTATAGAACCGAAGGTTAAATTGCCTGACGCGAGCTCGGTGGTGATCTATTTATTTCCGCGTGAGCAACTTTGCAAAGCTCGCGAGCATGAAATGCGTCGGTTTAACACCCCTGATTCGTCATTTCGCCAACCGGGAATTTCGCGTGGGCGGGTGCAGCGGGATTCTGACAAGACCGATCGATCATCGCAACACGGGATGGTAATATCACGGTGAGGCAGTCGCGGCGAACGAGAGCGGGAAAATGCGAGATGAAGCGGAAAGGAAAAAGAGGAGATAAAGAAGAGAAAGAAGAAAGATCACGAGGAAGAAAGAGAGAGTGAGAACGTACGCGTGTGAGCGCGCGCGCGCGCGAGAGAAAGAGATAGAGAGAGAGAGAGAGAGAGAGAGAGACAAAGTGCGTAAATAAAGTACTGTGTTTACCACGAGAACTGTCAATCGATCGATTCAAGAGTCGCGATAAGCGCGATAAGAGCAGTCCGCAAATACATCTTCGCTGTTTGAGAATCGTAGCGTCTTTTCCTGGGAGTCGCAAGTCGAGAGACTTGCTACGCGCGTTCGAACGATACACTTTATCAATAATCTCACGCATTCATTCGGCCACGAGCGATTGCGTGTGGGATAATTCGCGACGGTCGGTCGAAATTTCGCGATTTCGCGGGAGAACGGCGGAGAATGAGAAAGCGAAAAAAAACAGAGTCGAGTCGGGTAAGGTACGAGGATAAGATACAATGTTCCGCCAAGTGTCAACGAGAGGAAGTCATTTATTGCACACATAGCGCGCGCGTTATCGATATGTATTTGCGTGCGGATCATGCGGCCGTCGTCGAAAAACACAACGAGTCACGGAGTAAAGGGAAACCAGTTTAATCCGCCATGGATTTATTAACGCCAGTTAATAAATCACTTCCCCCGTACGTGTATCTCTCCTGATTACGTTCTGGTATAGTCAGCTGCACGTGAAACTTTCATTCGTTTCACCGCCATGGATCCTCCGGCGGCGGCTATCTTATCGCCTTATCGATTCACGTGCCGATCCGATCATCCCGAAATTCGTCGATTGCGCCGTTATCATTCTCTCGCGACGATCAAAAGTCGAGGATTAGCGGACGTTTATTACCGTGAGGCACCTCGTGTCTGTCGCGCCCGACGCGAAGGGACTTCGATGCAGCTCGCAGCGCGATACCGATTTTTGTTTTTCATCGCTCGAGCGGTGGAGGAGGAGAGGAGATTACCGCGTACGAATTGGGAAGGCGATAACACTGCAAATAGTACATTATCGCGCCGACGGGAAAACAATACGCGCGATGGCACGATGGACTACTGCCACGCGAGGAGAAAACACAAGCCGCGTCATCGCGATGTTATTTGCGACCCCATCGTCCGAACACGCATGGGCGTCACGAAAAACTCTATTTCCCTTTCTCATGTTTCAAGGAACTGCCTTTCGTCGCCTTCTCCGTTACTCGTCCCGATAACGCAAAATTCGGCCGTAAGGGCGCGTTGCGTTACGCGTGCCCAGCAACAGCAACAAACACGTCAGTATCACGGATTGCTCGCCGCTATTCGGATGACAGTGCAGAGGTTGCCGGAAAAGTCACTCGTTGACTTTATTGATAATGATATTTGCAGTGTTCCCAGTTATGACAAATGCAATTAACTTTGCACCGTGATCGTTGCGACAATTTATCGACCGTTTACCGACAGGAGCCGAGCCTTATTGAATTAAGATGTTTAAAAAATGAAACTGAGAAATAAATATTACGGAATAAAGCAGAATAAACAAGAGTAATACTTGAAATATTTAAAAGTCTTACATACTGTATTTCATCTATGTTTCTACAAAAGATCGCTTCTGCAAAAGTATGAATGGACTAGAAACGCGGTATAAATATTGGTTGCAATTTAATCGAACGCAACTATCAAGCGACATATTTTTGGTACATTGTAGTCTTGTATCGAAGGGCCTGTTTCTCGAAATCTTTTGCAGCTTGATAGTTGCGGCCAATTAAATTGCAACCAACATATATATATATATACATATATTGTGTTTGTAGTCTATTCATACTTTTGCAGAAGCGATTTCTTGTAGAAACATGGATGAAATACAATATATAAGACTTTTGAACATTTCTCTATCGTTTTCTTCCTAATCTCCAATTTCTATCGAACTTTCCAACGTGAGGAAACAATTAAAAAATTATGCGAAACCAGGAAATATGTTGTATTATTTATCGCTTTAAATATTACTCTTATTTATTCTGCTTTATTCCGTAATATTTATTTCTCAGTTGCAGTTTTCTAAACATCTTTTTTAATTCAATGAGGTTCGACTCGTGTCGGTAAACGGTCGATAAACTGTCATAACGAACACGGTGTAAAGTTACTTGCATCTGTCATAACTGGGAACACGACGAAATATCATTATCAACAAAGTCAACGAGTGACTTGTTCGGAAACCTCTGCATTATCATCCGAATAGGGGCAAGCAACCCGTCATACTGACCTGTATGTTGCTGTTACACCCTGTACATCTTTCTTTCACGAAAAGCTGACGCGGAGCATGCGACGGACACGGCCGACCTATTGCCGTCGTTTCGATAACAAGCGTGCCGCTACGGGAACCTAACACCCGTATCAGTTAGCAGCCGTACATTTGAAACGGCGAGATTCACGATAACAAACGACACTTATTTTCGACGCCAGGCCGGCGTGTTCGCGCGCGCGCGCGCGATGCCTGACATCTGATTCGGACACGATTAACGACGATCAGATTATCTGACAACAGGACGAACTAGATAGAAAGCCGGGGAAAATATCGCTAAGCTTCTGCTTCGAATCCAAGTGATTTTTCATCATTTCATCACGTTAACGGTAAGATGTCGCGAAGAGAGGACTCTTGCGCTCAATCATCACTTCCAACGCGAAGATTTCGAACGAATGAACAATACGAGCTGATGGACAGCCGAAAAATCAACACATGCAACGAGCGGGAATATTTATCGGTAGAAAAGCTGTTTTTCAAATACCTTATCATTTTATCGCGCTGATCCGTGTGTATCTAACTAAGAATTTATTTGATTCTCGCCTGCACCTCGCCGCCTCTCGAGATAAAGTGTTTTTCGATCATGCCTGCCTGACGTGTACCTCGTCTATCGCGGACTACCACCAGACTACCAGCTTGTCTCGCGAGTTATCAGGCCGCGATAACTCCTTCTCGAAGAAGATCTCGCCGCGAGATTGAGAAAGGAACGCGCGGAAGGCCCGCGAGAATTAGATTCCCGCTCTCGCGAGCGACGGAGTCGAGGATTGATCATTCCGTCCCAGGATGGACGTGTCTGGGTCGTTGCTGAAGCACACTTTCCATCGATAATTATCAGCGGTCAGATTGATATAAACGATTAATTAAAGCGACGACGATCGTTCGACATAAATGACTCGCGATTTCATCGAAGTGATCTAGCAAATCACGTGATTCCCAATCACGACGGAGAGAACTGTATTTGAATACTTGAACAATATGTGAACAGTTTTGACTCCTGTTGAGGATATATGCGATTGTTTGGTCAAATAATTATTGCAAGAAACGCTAACGAATCTCACCAGTTTTCAACTTGCAAGCGCACGATCAAATTCGCGAGCATTCGCAACGGCTCGCGATGACGGCCGATCGCGACTTGCGTATCTTTCAAATGCGGAAGCGGTAACCTCAATACTGCATCCCGTAAGTTTTACGATCGCAGCCTGGCTTCGAGAGATTTCGCAATAAATAAAGTCAGCTGCGACCGCGCGAATGGCCGTCAAGCAGGCGTTAACTTGACAATTCAGAGTTATAAACCAGTTTGCAGAATCTGCATACCCGCTCTCGCTTATATCGAGTGTCTAACAACACCGGACTCTTCGTCGTCTTTATATACACCCACGGAAATGTATTCAATCGCGAATTATGCATCGACTAATTCCAACTCGCTTCTGGAGAAGAAGCGGGGTTTTAATGGAGAAACGAGTTCTTCGACAAGTGAGTCTTAATTCCGCGAGAGGAGAGAACAAGTCGACGAGAAAGAAGGATATTTCATAGAATTGGTTCGAATTTTATTGAAAGCCGACCGTAAAAAAAAAAAAAAAAGAGAGAGAAAAAACAAGAAAAAAACAAGCGGGTTTATGCTTTGAAGTATCGCGCAACGCCAAAGCGACAGGAACGTTCGTTTAAAATATCCCGGGACTTTATGAAAAATTCCCGGCATTTTCGCTGCCGAGGAGTCTTCACGTGATGCTACAGATGCGCTTGAAGAAAAGATCTGGCGGCCAAGGTTGCTTCAAATCTAAAAAATTGCTTGAAAATCGATGGCTCTATTTTCTTCCCTACGTTATTTAAACGTATCTATCGCACAACCTTGTATTTGGTGAATATTAAACGCGGCTCATGAGTCTCATTTATCGAAAGACATTCTTGCACGCCCAAGTAGTCTCCGATTGTTCGACCGGATATATTCGTCTCTATCTGTTATTTATATATCCCGCTTACGCAACTGGATCAACTTGTCTGCATTATTTAAGGAGGACGCCGCTGACCGAAACCGTGAAAGAAAGAGCTATCTAGACAAAAAATAAGACCGATCTTATTTCGCCGTCAGGCGCTTCTAAAATTCATGTCTTGATTATAACAGCGTGGCGCTATGTAATTACAGAGCGCACGCTGCTCTCAAAACGATTCTCGGACGAGCGCGTTTACGTGTGTGCGAGTGATAAAATTACATAATTTCACATAACAAACGGCGCGTGTTGATACTAAAATAGCTGGATGTTACGCGAATGGCTACATGTTCGTAAACGATCGCCGGATGGTGAAGATCATAAAGGGGAACGGTCAATGTTTAATTTTTTTATACACGTCCGCGCCGACTCCTTCTGAGCGAAACGCGCGTGCGGCGTTACGAAACGCACACACGCCTTGCATTTACTCCTCGGTCGCTCCTCGGTCGCGATAACCTTCGACTCGGTGACCCGTTACCGCTCATCGAGGATGACCGGGGAACTTCAGAGAAGAGGCGAGGACACTGCGCGATCGTCGCGAAGATAAACGAGCAACAATTTTCCACATTCATCGTATACAAGATTCCATCAAACTGGAGATTTTACAAAGAAGAGAAGCCTCCAGAAACGATTCTCAGAAAAGCTAAGAAATATCTATATATACCGTAGGAAAGAAACCTCCTCTAAATTAATAAAACTAAAAGTTTAGTATATTCGTATTATCTATATTAATGGAAAATCAAGAAGAAGAGCAATGTACCGTACGGTGGTTTCCTGGCTTAGCAGCGGCGTAGTTTTTTGTAGGGGATAAAAACGAGAACAGGTACTCACCATAATGGCAATGAGATGCCTGTAGTCATAAGGAAGTGGTCCGTCACCCCTGAGGATGAAATGCTGCGTTCGAAGGAAATGATCCAGATACGTTGGATGCGAGGACATTACCCTCGAGACATGATCCAATCTGTTGTTCTGGAGGAAAGCATCCATCAACAGCATATGCGTCTGTAACAAAAACCAAAAGCGGACCGCCATAAGTGAAAGGCAACGCGACCCGTCATATTATACAGATTTATCACTGGTGCTCTATGAAATTTGTACAAAAACGCTGTAATACTGCTGCGATCTAGTAAGACTCAAGTGTCCTGATGCGAATCCTGCTGTACAATAATTTTATACACACACACACACACACACACACAGTAGCGTTTGGTTTGTAACTTGAAACCGGCTGACATTAAAGATTTCGGGAACGTCACAAAAGATGACCAAAGTTCTCCGAAAAATCATCTCGGGGAGACAACAAATTCAAATTTTTATAGAATTACTTCGTAAAAGTGGTCCTCAGCGTCAATTCGCCACGCTTCTTCTCAAAACGTTGAAAATATTTTTGGCCTTCGAGCATCGCAAAGTTCGTTGATATTTGAGCTGCGATATTTGTGTTTGTAGATTACTTTCGCACTAATACCTATTTGACAATTCTGGTCAGCATAAGGAGTCGCCGTTTTTTGTTTACTCGCGATCTCTCGCGATAAATTTGGACGTTGGACACGTGTTACAGCACAGTTGATACGTATTATTCGCAATAACACTTACATAACCACGCTAAGAAGAGAGAAATGGGTATCCGAAAGTGACCCTCGTAACCAGGTGTTTGCGTTGCATCATTCAACGCGACAGCGGCTCGTCTTTTACGTTAATTAATACATCACGTCGCTACGATTTTGTATACACATTGAAAGACAAAGAGGGGGAGGGGGCACGAACAGGAGAGACACGCACGTATGCACGGCGATAGATATCGGAATAAATTATCGGTATCGCGGACACGCCATATTGTAGTAGCGCATAATAACCATGTTGCATTCCGCGACATGCGATCATTTCTTATTCGAGCGCTAGAGTAAACAGTATATTGATCAGAAATCATTACACGGCGTGCTTATGCACGCGTGCGCGCACGCGCGCGCAGTCCGCTAATAACGCGATGTAAAATTGCAGAGTAGCGCGCATTAATCGCTCTCAAACACGAAATAATTCACGGGTGAAAAACTAGACGAACGTGAGAGATTCGGGAGCGAGGCTTCCTGCGCGTGAGTCACGTTTCACCGCGCGAAACGCAATTCACCGGATACGCGTGTTAACATCTAATAGTTCCTGCACGCGTGCTGGTTTCTCCAGCTACCGATATGGAAATCCATCCGGGGGCCGTCCGCCATAAAGCGACCTAATCAACCGAGTCGAGCGCTGATCGATGCACGCGCGCGCGCGCCCGGAGATTTCGGATCATTTCGAATGCGTACGTATCGGCATGGACGCGCGCGCGCGTTCGCCATTCGCCAGGACGCGCACGTGTTCGCACTCCGAAATGTCGACGCTGACGGCGACGTCTCCAGCGGCGACGGAGGAGAAGCCGCCGCTCGCGGTCGAATCCGGATTTGAAACTTTTTGTCTCTCGCGCCAGCCGGCCGCTCTTCGCGACGCTCCGCACGGCGACCTCTCTCTTCCGCATCGGCGTCGTTGTGGTACGTGGTAGGGACGCTGATCTTAAATCGATTTAATCGAAGACCGATTCATCGGAGCCTAAAGGATCGATTTGAAATCGATCTTTCTGGGACTGAATCGATTCAAGGGTCGATCTGTAAATTCGGAAAATCGCCAACACGACTTTTTCAGTCTCTACTGGTAACATAGTCTTTTCTTTTTTTTTTTACTTCTTTTAGCTGTAACATTTGAACTCACTCAATGGTTGCACAATGCACATTATGTTGCTTTTAGACCGATGTCCCATGGCCGAGAATTTTCAGCGGAACGAAACGCGCGAATCAATCACAGCCACTCCATATAATAGTATATATTATATACATATGTATATGCATATAATAGTAAACGTGATTTCTTATTTAATAACGTTTAAAAACCCTTGATTAATGTTTAATCAAACTAATTAAATCCTTAGCACAAAGATTTAAAGATCTTTTTCTATTTTGTTCTGGCCACACACACATACAGAACACAATCAAAAGAATACCATATGTTTGATTTCTTTAATTCATATTAAACTATACGAATTACACGAGGTACACGAGGTCACTTTAGAGTGTAGAAGTTTGACAGATAATATACTTTGATGAATGGTTCACTCTACATGCATACCGATTCAAATCGATTTTCTCAAATCGATTCTTTATAAACCAATTTTTTAAAGATCGATCTTTTTCTCCGTGATTCAAATCGATCTTCAAATCGATCTGTTTGGAAAAAAATCGGCAAAAAATCCCTAGTACATGGAGTGTCGAGAGATATTCGTCTGATACAAGCGCCTTACCGCAAAGTAAGTCGTAAGTTGCAAATCCGCGAGGATTCGCCTAACAAATTAAAATATTCCTCTCGACACGCAAATTGAGCGGTCAACCGTAATTCGCGCGCGTAAATGAGAAAATGTTTCTCCCGAGCGCAAGTCGCGCGATTTCGCGGCTATCCATAACAAGTTTACCTCACGACTAGCTCTATATCGCTCCTTCGGCCGCTGAGACAACAACTCTCACTTGACGATAGCCGAAATATCACGCGATTCGCGGCAAGTCGCCTGATCGATTCCCCTGGCACTGCTGATCCTGCATTATCCAGCAAATATTTGCATCAACGAGCGTGTCGGGACAGAAGGAATAACAAGCGCTAACGAAGCTATCAAGAGAATTGTAGCGGCGCTACAAAGCGCACTCGGCGCTATTAACGCGAGTTGGCGCTGAAAGTGCAACATTATGATACGAGTGTGTACAAATGCGAGTATGATTTGTTTGCTTGTGGTCGACCTTGTAACAGGTCGCTAACCCATGTGCAGTAACAACGCGCACACAAACCAAGCGCGAAAAGCATTTCACTTTGGCGCCGGCTTTCGTCTCGAGAGGCATATCAAGCCGACATTCGCGCCGGACGCGCGAGAATAAGAAGAAGGATCTCGATGTTTCATATCGTGCACCGCCGACACAGCCCGTTGTAACTGTCGCGGGGAAATCATCGCAGACGTGACAGCGAGACACGGTGTAATGTGACGAATCGCGCGCGCTTCGAACGTATCACCTGCTCGTGCGGCGCACTGCCTTCGCGAATCGTTATCGTTCCTAATCAGATTATAATTGAAAAATACCAGACGTTTATTAGCATACGCTTTTTTCAGACGACGTTGAGATCGACTTCGCCGCGATTCTCGGCGCTAACAAGCGCGAGAAACGAACGCCGCGGATAAACGCGCTCGCTAAGGCGAGGCTGAAATCTCATCGCCGTGAGTGATCGTTTATAATGATCATTAATCATGATTAATCGACGTCTCGCGTGGCGTGTCTGCTGTTTATTATTATTATTATTATTATCGTCATCATCATTATCCTTATTATTATTATTGTTATTATTATTATTATTATTGTTATTGTTATTATTATTATCGTTATCATAATTATCCTTATCATTATTGTTATTATTATTATTATTATTATTATTATTATTATTATTATTGAAGGAAAAGGCTTGGCCGGATTCCGGTTGAAACCGGTGTGTGTAGAGGAACGAGTGCGCGTTTTGAAAAATTCCTACGCCAATATACGAGGTGGTGGTCGGTGAGTTGCGTTCACACCCGACGCACGATCGCGAGAGCCCAATAATAATGTCGCAACCCATCGGGTTCATTCGCGATACCGAGTAAATATCTCGCCTCGACGAGACTCGCCGCCGACCGGCGCCGTAGATGGCCGAATAAAAATTTGTTTTGATAAACAAGAGACTCGCGGCCGCCCCGAATCGGCCGGCTTATTATTAGACGGCCGGCGTTCGTCGGCAGGCCGCGGGTCCACGTGTGGGCGGAAATAACAAATTACTCAGTGTCAGCTAGCTGGCGTGGCAGCCGGAGATTGAGTGGTCCGATCGCGAGGAAATTCACTCGAAACTTCCCGGTGGCTCGAGGCGGAGGGAGAGAAAAAGAGGAGGGGGAGAAAGAGAGAGAGAGAGAGAGAAACGCGTGCATCTAACGGAGGAAAGAGGAAGGCTTTTTAGAAAAATGCCCGTGTCCGATTGATCGGCGACCATAAATCATTCGCTCAACAGTGTTCACTCGGGTATATGTTGCATTTTCGCCGTTCTCGACGCTCGCTATTGACCGCTGGGTCATCGCGCTCCACGTCACGCAGGAAACGTGTGTATACTCACGAACTAATATAAATATTAATACCGACGATTGTCTAACATTTATGAGTGGTTTCAGCGTGTAAACATCCACAGTAATTTACACGGGAGATCATATTTTTCCGCAAGTGCGCATCACTTGTTAATAAAAACGCATGAAGAAAAAAAAAGGGGAGGAAGGAACACGAACGCGACTTATATATAATAAGTTCCATAACGCCGCACGGCGATCGGCGATAATCCTTGATTGCTCTTTAAATGGCGAGCGTACGTGAGAAGCTGCCGGGAGGGTTCTCGTTTCCCAACGTCTGTCCATATTTCTTTTTCTTGCTTGCCGAGCAAGCTGCCGGGATATTCGTCGGGCGAATGTCTTCGCGTAAGCCTCGCGAAATGATATCTCGCTTTGTGCCAACTTCCGCAGAACAATGTTATCAGCAGAAAGCTATTCGCGCGACGGTAAGTCGCGAGAGGCTGCGAGTCTCTATGGTTGCGGCTCTTGGCGACGGAGAGCGTGGCAGATTCGAGGCTCATCGGAATTCGAAACGTCTCAACAGCGGCAAAGGACGATGCGACCGACCGCCGCTGGTGCCGACGATGAACCCTCGAGACTTTAAAGGACCAATCGCACTCTATGAATGCCGAGTAACAGCTCGCGCTAACCCAAGGGCTAGAGGATTCACGATAGCACGATACGGCAGCCGCTCGGCGAAAATAGCCGGCTACGTCACAGACGGCAGGCATTACTCAATTAACTCGTTCATGCGATTTGGCAAGCGGTCTTGCCCCGACGAGGCCCTCGAAAAGCGCAGCCAGCGCGGCAGGGAGCC